ATCATGAGACTAGAGGAGATAAATACCACTTTCATTATCATTCACACTTTTATATTTTTGAATTCAAAGCAATTAAAATACAGAGAGAAATGTGCTACAAGAAATGTAATGTATTTATGTTATATTAGTGTATTACTTTGAGCGTGCGTTCTTTGAATCTTGCAGAACATTTCGGCGGTGAGTTTTGCATCAGATAAATAAGTACTTAAAACAAAAATTTAGGATTTAATAAATAATGCCGAAACAATAAATTTTTAAATGCTCTAGACGATTCTATAGCATTAGACATAACATAGCATGTAAAACCAAATTTTCAGGTAAACTCTCATTAAAAAGCTATTACAGTAGACATCACTGAATGTGATCGCGGTTAATCTTCTCATTCGGATATTTATTATCTAGTGACCGATGTTCCGCCTAGTTATGTACGAAAACGTGGAAAATAATTCGCTTATTGGAATCAACAATTCCATTAATATGATAAAATCTTCCGTAACCCGGTATTTGGTATCGGAAAAGGAGGAGTGCCTCAGGGAGAACTGTTTAAGGGAAACTGGTTGGTATCCACGTTACCATGGCCCACCAGCGGCCGAGCGGTAAAGTCGCTGATCACTGCGAGTTCAAGCCGAGGTTCGAATCCTGCGATCGGGCTGGCTGCATAAGCGTTTTCGTGGTCCCGATGTGTAACGTGTATACGAGCCAGTTTAAGTTCATGAAGTCATCCCTTCCATTAGGCATATAACCCTCGAGACTTTGCCGTAATTAACCACACTGAAACTAAAACGTATTCACGTTATACATGGGAAAAATCAGTGTTAAGCGGCTTATACCATCCGGCTGTTGGCGAGCCTGATCAAAATATTGAATAATATTTTAACTGAAGTAACGTCAACATATAAAGTCAAGATAGATTATAGAAATTCTCAAGTGTTAGAAAAATAACTCCGAGTTTTGTCGCCAAATAGCTTGTTTTTGATTTTAGTCAATCATTTAAAATTAGGCTAGAAAAGCAATCTTTGTTTGACTTTTATATTTTGAATAGTTTTATAGCTTTCGAGGGCGATCAGTCCTCCTTCAGGAGAAGAAAAAATGATACTTGCTTCCGGAGGGGGGGGGGAGACACTGAAAACACCTACTCCAAATCTAAGGTTGCTCTTTCTCGGGTAATTTTTATTTTTATATCGGCATGCCCTCTTTTAGTAAGGAATTCCATATAAGTATTACGATTAGCGTACAGCATAGGTCAAATAATTTTCAGAAACGTTATGAAGAGTTCATAAATGAATTTTACGTTAAAGACATCGCGCTTTGTGTGACATTTGTTCCGTATTTATAACTTTATCGTTTGGTCGACGGAGCACTTTTCCTTCGTATTTTTATTATCGTGCATTTATTAAATTTGATCTGATAACATAAAAATAATGTAAAGTTTAGTTTCTGATAAATGGCAAATGGCATATTCCACGATTCGAAGAATGCTTCCTTCAAAAATGTAGTCGTTGTAATAAGTGTTTCCATTCTCTCTAAGAATAAGTAATTAAACGATATCGCTAATAAACGCACATTGTTTCTGATTATGTTAACTACGCACGCTACGTACGCACAACATTCATAAACAGGTTCTTGCCTTTTCAGGATTAAAATGCTGTGGAAGTACCTATTTATGTTTCTAACGAAGAGAGTGATAAATAATTTCATCCAAAAAGGCATTAACCATCCGACAAGATATACACACATCCAAATTTAAACAAAAACAATACAATTAATGAAATTTTTTAACTTTATATTTCTAGTTATACTATCAATAAATTCAATTCCTTTTATATTTATAGGCATTTTTTTCCCTCATCGTTAAATATTATTCAGTAATATTGTCAAAATAACCCTGAACAAATGTAATCACATTAAACGGCCTTTTATTATAGAATTACTTTTTTTTTCCCAAGACAAAGAGGCTATAAATTACTGAAATTTTATTTATTTCAGTAACAGTTCCTGAGATTTTTAGTCTCACTTTTGAACTTTTGATAGAAATTTGAATGGACGAAGATACTTACTCTGAAATCTCTCTTGAGTTATGTTAGTAAACATTTATTGTATAAAAAATTCCACCTGTAAACGTAAATCGTTCTGCATTCATCATAAAGGGAGATGCTAAGGCCTAATATTGATAGATCTTTATTTTCATGTTTGGTGGTTGTCCGCAAAGAACCGAAAAACTTCTGCATTGAATATTGTTTAGAAAATGGATTTAATCAAGCTGATATTGAAGCTGCAGCTGGCAGTATTGCAAATATAATAATTACGCACTTTCTTATTATAGAAAAACTCTCAAAAAGAACTTTAATAATAATATATTTATTGTGGTTCTTCCGTTTTTATTGTTGCCATTCTGAACTACTAAAAAATATGCATATAACCACAACAACACTGATATTATAAAAATATTACAAACATAAAGGGAATATATTAAAAAAAGTTTTAATGGTAGGACCTAGCAATTTTTAGGCTTTCGCCACTACTAAGGCCATAAGTGGTGATCATTTTATTATGGAGGTGCATAATAGGTAGCCACCGTTACGTCCTATGAGGGCACAGACAATTTTACATCCATGCCTTCTCCGGGATTCGAAATCAGGCCCTTTGGTATTTCAGTCAGACTCCCCTAACCAGTATACCGTCTGAGCGTCCATTTTTAAAAATATGCATACTTTAGTAAGAAAGTGAAAATAAGCTAACATTTCGATTTAAAACCACACTATCTCCCAGGAATACAATTTTTTCTACATCTATGCAGTAGGTACGATGTAAAATAATTAGAAATAATTTCAGCTCATGATAAAAATTTGGATGCCAGCATTTTGAAGAAGCATTTAAGCATTTACAAAAGCCATAAATTTTCAGTATCTTGACAAATACTTCATTTTCACAGTTGGTTTGCTTACAGACGAAAATGTCAAACAATTTGCAATGACTGCCTTTTTGCCCTCATCTTCTCGGTGAACTATGCGTCCAGTTATTAAGAGCACCCGGGTAAAATCCTATCCCAGTAGATCAATTTTTGCATTTTTCGATTGTTGGGCTACCATAATTTGAAGATTTTGCCCTCATAGGCTTCACGACTGTAGCGAAATAGTCGCCCACTAGCAGCAAAGTCACTAAAACTAAAATGGCGCTGGGATAAGCAGCTCAGCTGGCTTACTGGTTGCTGTAAACGATCTGCGAACTTTTGGTGCAGATGCTGACAACATGGTCTTGTGTAGTATAAAAGCGATTTTTTTTTTTTTTTTGGTCGCGTACAATGAAACAGATAATACTAATTGATTTGTGTTTCAATGTATTTCACTTCTAACTCCTATTAAATTCTCCTAATCTTCCGAATCTAAGGATTAGATTTAAGTCTTCTTTTTGCATCTAATAGTCTTGTTAGTCGAATAGAGGCCGATTAGAGTACTACGGATTGGAAAATCGGTTTCATTAAAAATGTATGAGAGTCCCAAGCACTTCGCTCCTGGTGACTGAAATCTGCTATCAAGGGAGTTATCCTGAGGCATGCGATGCATGAAGGGCATACCTATAAATTTCAAATTCTGGAAAAGGAATTATTATTTTTTAATTCCATTATAGTAAAATCATTACTAAACACTTGTATATACAAATTTTCACTAAACTTTGCTACGTTAGCATATTTAATTTTTCTTATATTGTTATCCCAGTTTTGGTATTTGGTACATGCTTTCATTTAGAAGGTTATGAATTCAGTCTATGCAAAGTGTATGAGATATTAATGTCAGTTTTAAGGGTCATACTGTATTTATTTACCTAATTAATAAACTTATGCGAGTTAAAAAAAATAAACATAAAGATCATGTCATAGATATTCTGTTGGAATTAGCAGTCAGAAAACTTTATGAAATTGACTCAGAATTACGAGTGCTCACTAGCTGCTGAGTGGTGAAGTCTCTGAACACTGGTAGTTCGGTCCAGGGTTCGAAGACCGGCGAACAGACTGGCTGTATGGACGCATTGGTTTTCCCATATGCAAAGGATATATGAGCCAGTTTCCTTTAGAAAGCTTTCACGAAGACATCCTTTCCCTTAGGCAGATAGCTCTCGAGTGCTTTGCCATAATCAAATAAAAAAAACCAAAGACTGACAATTATTGTCATATTCCAAATTGAAATAATATACAGACACAAAATATGCATCATTAAAACGTATTAGTCGTTTTTAGTGCTATTAAATGAGGCATTATTGTGTTCGGTAAAGCATCATTCGATACTATCGATACTATGTAGAAATACATTCGATACTACATTCGATACTATGTAGAAAAATTCATAACCGAAATATACAAGAAGTATAGAGACATAAAATTTTAAACAGTATGTTCTCATTGTTTTTAAATCCGCTGTCTTTTTTCCATTATCGTATATCTCCTTCCGAAGAGTTAACATAGTATACACAACTCTCATCTCAGGTCTATTCGACCTGATCGGTCTATTCGACGAATGTTGCAGACGAATTTGCAATGCCACCTATCGGTCAGTATAATCGTCAATAGGTGGACAGGTTTAATAAATAGAGAAAGGCGGATGTCCTAAAATCAGCGTTTCAACATTTGCTGTCGAGAGGGGGGATAATAAAAGTGATTGAAATATCTTATTCCTGTAGAAAAAAAAACTTTTTCAGTGCGACGAACTTCGGTTCTTTAACAAAATGAGACGCGAGAGGGGAATGCAATCTAAATGATATATTCCCACGTTATTGATAAAGGAAAGCAAGCTATGAATTATTTTTATTTAATGATAACAGTAGAATGATGTTCTAAGCTTTAATGATTTTACATTCTCTAACTTTACTGCAGTTTCAATCACTTCCGTTTTCAGTGACGTTTCATTTTGCGTTCCGGTCACATGATTACATTCAGTGCCATCTGCATTTTCATAACAAGAGCGCCGGTTTTGGTTTCTGGAAATGAGTTCTGATATTTGTTTCAGGAAGACTGTCAGGGAAAGATACGACATCGCTAAGGAAACGTGGCTGGTTCCTCGTATAAAATTATTAATGAAGCTAAAAGAAGGTAAGTATTTTCATAATTTGCACAGTTAATGATAGGAAATATTAAAGCGTCTATTTTTAATACTGTTAAATGAGTTATAATCAAGTTTTAAACGGGAATAATATCACTTTTTGAACCTTTTCTTTTATAACATAGGGAACTGCAGATTAATTAAGCTATAAATTTAGGACATTTTTACCTATTTAAAAAAAAAAATTGCGCAGTAGCTAACAGCATTTGCCATGCCCATAAAAGATGTTCCCGTGTATTTAATGGCCAATTTTATTTATGCAGCGTGTAAATGTTATGTATATATTAGTAAGAGTTACACGTATTTATTAGTAAGAATTACTGTTTAAATATATATATGTGTATGTAGTAAGTTTCTTCAAGAAAAGCTTAGTTTGCTGTTTTTTTGTCTTTAATTATATGCGAGCAAGAAGTCTAAAACTAATAACCAGTATTTATTAATCCATATTTTAGTTTAGTTTGGAATTATTTCTGAGAATTACCTTCATGTAAATGATTTCAAAAATTTTCCATTATTTTGTTTTGAAGTATGAAATTCTGTTATGAAATTCTGTCTGAGTAATGAATTAACATTTCATTTACGTTTTCACTGCAAAAATAATGATGTAGCTATAAAAAGTTCTGTTATTAGAAGTTGGCAAATAAGTAATTATAAATGCTTTTTTTGGGGGGCTTTTGAATTTAATATAATCAAGCAGAAAATAGATTATTTTAAATATGAAAGTTTGCAGTATAAATAGTAAAACAAAATCACTCTAAAAGAATTTTCATCAACATGGTTTAATAAAATATTGTTAACTTTGAAGTTTACCTTTAGATATTAAACGAGTTCAGATATATTTTTAAAATTCTCTTTTGACTCTCTAGCTTCATTTATTAAAAATCTTATAATTTTTCACAAGATTATATATTTAGAAAGAGTAAATTATGTAAATATTTTTCTTACTTTTCATGTCACTATTAAAGGAAGTATAAATTTGATTATTTACAGTGTAAAATATTTTAGCGGAATTCTTTATTAAAACTTTTGATTTAATTTAGTTCAGTAAACCCTGTAGTAAAAGTTAAAAGTCCAGATATTAGTAGCCCAACTCATTTAATAGTATAAACTTAATGAGTTCAAATAATTCAATTTAACATTTTTAAATCAGGGAGTTAAGAAATTACAGTGAACTCCTGATTAACTGACCTCTATGAAAATAGAATCTGGGTTAGGTAAGTAGTCTGTAAAGGCACATGAAGTAACATTTGTTAGATTTAAATATTTATACGATGTATGCAAATTGTATGAGTATGGTGTATGTAAACAGTAGTACTTTTCTGTTTGTAGAACACTGGGCTAAATGCATACAAGTGCAATATTGCCAAGAGTAAATGTAAGACTAGGAAAATTCACGAAAAAGTAATTTATTGCATTCAATAAAAAGGAATTAATAAAAGTAAAAAGACAAAATAAAACAGCAAGTAAAATATTATAATTACTATTCTGCACAGAGCAGAAAATTTATGCTTGTTAAGTAAGACTTTGTTAAGTAAGACTTGAACTTTGTTAAGTAAGACTTTAAATGATGGTGACTGTTAACTCTCTCTAGTGTTTGATATCGCTTTGCACTGCTTCATTCATCTGTTTATATGCAACAGCCATTGTTAGGGTCTGCGAAATAACATAGTTTCAGAGTGAGTTGTTCATAAACAGCAGCTCGCAATTTATTACTTTTATATGCTTCAACTCGAAAAAATATTTCTATTAGACATGTTCTTGCTCTGTTGTGGTCATTAATGCATTAAATGCAATTAGTGTTCAAATGCACAAAACATATAATAGCCTAATAGCCATTTGTATTACAGTACACATTGCTTAATGTGATCATGTTTGTTCGTGACTGTTTTGGATAACATTAACTGAATGATAATATTAAATGATGAGAAACATATACTTACCTTTACAGCAATTTTAAACAGGGAAAAGTCATTAATAGTTGATGTCTGCAATTGTTATGCAAAATTTCATTTATGAATTTTTCATATTCATAATTTTTCTGAAAATTGCTTGACCAATGTTGTACTCCTAATCTTAATAATTATAGGGCATGCCTTATCTTAGTATATATAGAAAATTCACTATTTCATCATTATCATCAGAAAATTATCAGATGATGTGCTTGGATTTGTTTCAGAAAAGGAGTAGCAAATATATTGTTATTGAGGTAACAATCTCATTTTTCATTAGTGTTCAGCCCATGCTTTAAATTCCTAATAATTCTTGCTAGTTGGAGGTGCTGTTTTCCGTTCCTTAACTTTGGTGTTGTACAAGTTTGCACGATGTGGAATCTCTTCAGAATTTTAATTTTTAAGTGAAATGATTGCCATATGCTTACAGCAAAGATTAGCTTAAAAAATTACAGAAAGGTTTGGTGAAGACTGAGCGTGTTCAATTTTTTTAATGCATCATGTAACCTTTACGTAATAATTCAAATTTACATTGTTATGGATTTTATATGTATATATAAATAATTTGACGAGGAATTATAGCACGCCTTGCATAATGTACATAATGTAGCATGGAATGACTCAAGAGAATTAAGCTCTGCCAGAGAAATAGTTATGTGGACAAGTTTGTTTTACTTTGAAGTCAATGGCTATCTCTCCAATTTTGGCAAGAAATTATCAAATGTCTCCAAACCTGGTGATGATTTGGCTGCATTTTGGTCCACTCCCTGTGGAACTGTAATTGGCACTGTAACTGAATAATCATAATTGATCCTTATATGTAACTGTAACCATATCCAGTCTTTGTATGTAACTATAACTATATATGCCTTCCAGTTATTTTGAGAAGTGGAAGGTAGTGCATATTTCTCAGCCAAGGAAAACTATATAAGCCCTTAGAGAGCATCAGCTCTCAGTTGTTAGTTCAGAGCTGATTTTGGAATATTGAGATATTCGTGAGAGCATTGTCCTTTTACATGCATTTTACAATGTATTGTTGTTTTTAACATTCTTAGTAGTTTGAAATTGTGCTATGTTGTACTGAGAAGAACAATGCAAGTACTTTTATAGAAAGTTTCAGAATTGTAAAGTGTTTCTTTTGGGAAAATAAATTTTATCAAGCTATCGTCAATGTACACTGCACACACAAAAAAGGGACAGTTCTGTATCTCCTGTTCTGTTGGGCCGATTGATGAAAGTTGTGTTTTTTGTGTCTCGAAAGCGTGACTTATATTAGATTTATATATAGCATTGTTGTAATATAGGTATTTTGACACAAAATCTGACTCTTTCTGAAGTGACATGCCAATTTTTTTCATATTTTGATTCTACGACTCAAATTACTCCTAAATACTAAATTTTGTAAAATCTGATGCGAAATTTAAGGAGAAATTCAAAAATTTAACTTGCTGCAATTTTTTTTTTCTTTTTTTTTTTTTTCCAGTTTGTGCCACTTGGTGAACTTCTCAATTCATAGCAACCTATTTTCCTTTCCCTTTTTTCATTGCATATGAGTGGAACAAAGTAATCATTCATACTTTCAAATAATTTTAACAAAGTGCGTGATATGCATTTGGCATTATCACTTATGATAAATATGCCAAATTTCAAAATGTGCCAATATGTAAATTCTTGTATATCTTAGAAAATTTTGTATAAACAAGTCTAATTTTTTGCAGGTGTGCCTGAAATTACATCTACTTTAAGATGATGATAAATATTTTATGGGTTATAATTCAAAATTTTTTCAAACAATTTATAAAAATTATTTAAAACTAAATCTTAAAAAATGGGCAAATTTTATTTGGAATGAACCTAAATTTTGAAACATGAAAGGAAAAATAAAACATGTTTAATAAAAAAGTGATAACAAATATATACCAAATTTAATTAACATTGAGGAGCTAATTTTTTAAACTACTCGTGCAGTTTTTACAAAACTTGGCAGTTTGGCATAATTTGAATCGTAGAATCGAAATATGGGAAAAAAATTGGCATATCATTTCGGAAGTAATCGGACTGTAAGTTTGATTTTGTGTCAAAATACCTATATTAGAACAATGATGTATGTAAATCTAATACGTATCCTAAGTCGCACTTTCGAGACATGAAAAATGCAATTTGACCTTCATCAACCAGACCAGCAGAATGATATAGAACTGCCTCCTTTTTTTTGCGCAGTGTACATTCAGTCCATTATGAACCCATATGCATGCAACAGTATTTTCACTTCAATATTTAGTCAAAAATTCTGCAATAAAATTTTTTATACAGTAACTCAGTCCAGTTAGTAAAATTTTATATTCATTTAAAAAAATAAAACGAAGTTTGACTCTGATGTGATAAGAATCGATAAAGATATTAAATTTTAAACTTGGAGATTATGCTCACGAATTTTATACAAGTTTAAGAGCAAAATGTTGGCAACTGTATATTACTAAAAATGAAATGTTAATTCAGGAAAAGTTTTCCGATTTTAACAAATTAAGTGATGAGCATTGATGTGCAGATTGTCATGAAAAATATTGATCGATGTTGTAAATTTTATTGAAAGGAAAATCTTATTCACAGAATCTTATTGAATGCATGTTGTAGAAAACAGTGACAGTCTTCAGTATTGGCATGTAGCCAATTTATCACAATATTTGTGTAAATTAAAAATGAAGATATTTCTGGTTAACTAACATTTTTGATTATTAGCTTATGATTTTAAAGTTATGAAACTTCATGAAAATATGAACATATATTTCATTAGTAAGTTCTTAACAGTTAAGTGAAAATTCTTTTAACATACCAGTTGTAACAAAACTATATATTAAAGAATGGGATATTGGTAAAACAGAGTAATTAAATCACAAAAGAATATAATTGAGAGACATTTAAGGGGGGTCTATGCCAAATTACTTTTAAACTGAACCTTCAAGTGAGCTAAAAATCCCAAATTTTGATATATATTGGCAAAATTTCCATAAGGAACTCAAATGTCTAGTGTTTTATTCTTTATACTGATTATAAAATTTTACTAGATATAACAACAAGGATTGGGAAAGGAGAAATTTTGTTTTGTATAAAATTGATGATTTTAAGTGTGATGTGAATATTTGCATAATTCAAAAATGTTTTAATTGGAAATATATGTCTGCAATCCAGGATTATGAATATAAAAGTTGTATGAGGATTTTTGTGGATTCAGTGTATATGCTTCATTACTTCAAATGACTCAACTATTATTGAAGAAAACAGAGCTGAAAATTATATTGTTCATCCTTTTACCATAATTAGAAAACAGCTAAATAAAGCCATCATTCACCACAGCTAAAGAAAAAGCTGACTACATATTCCATTGGCTTAGAACTGCTACTTTAGTAGATATATTTAAATCAAATTTTCGTGCCCATTTTTGCTTCATCTTATTATTTCTGCTTCTTAAATTGCTTTATTCCAATTCAAAATTAATAACACAATGAATTATACTAATTTTATTGCTAATTATTTATAATCACTAAATAGCCATAATTTATGGGAACAAATTTCACTTATTTAATGAGATATTTAAGTAGGATATTTTAAATTTAGAAAGTTTGATAATAATAACTGCTTTATTGTAAATAATTGCTTTCATCAAAATTAAGCATAATTTAAAATTAAGTAAACTGTTTTTTATTAGCCAGAAGAGAAAAATGTCTTAAGAATGCATTTAATATAAAACTTTGTGTTGAATAATCTTTAGATATTTTATCTCTGTTTTAGAAATACACCCCTGGCCATTAAAATTGCAACACCATGAAGGAAAGAAAATACAAAAAATATATTTATTGTATATAAAACAGTATGGCATGAAGATAAAATGATTAAATTTGTAAGCAGTTTTGGGGCGCGAAATTAGTAAAAACAGCTGACATTCTTGGCATCTGAAATGGCTTTTACCTGGGTTTGGATTTGGATGACAGAAATGGGCAACTCATTCCATTCTGCTTCAACTGGTTGATGCAGAATGATCTTCAATTGGTTGATGGAAGTGTTATGTCGCACTTCCATCAACCGCATTAGCTGGAGAAGGGTGGTGGGCCAGTCTCTCAGCAACCTATGAACAAATGTTTTCGATGGGTGACAGGTATAGAGACCAAGCAGGCCAGGGCAACAATCAAATACTCTGTGTATTGAGGAAGGTCAGAACATAACGTGGAACATGTAGTCTTGCATTATCTTGATGGCATTTGGCAGACCTTTACTATAGAGCACAACCACTAGATGTAAGATGTCAGAAATGTACCAATTTGCATCCAAATTATCGTCGATCTGAACTAGAGATGCACGTGTCGTGTAACCCAATGGCTACCCAAACCATCGCGTCAGGTGCAGGGTCCCTATGCCTATATCGAATGCAAGCAGGCAACATGCGGTGTCATTGGAGCCTCCAGACACATATATGACCACCAAAATCCTGCACGAAGAACCAGAACTCATTTAAAAAGACAATGTTGTGCCACTTCTATCCAGCTTTGTCGTTCAATGCACCACTGTCAGCGTCTTTCTCTATGCTGCATTTTCAAGTAAACCCGAAGTAGTCCACACTGCTGCAAATGTCGATTCACTGTATGAGCAGATACTAGGCGGTTTGCAAACATGCCCATTTCCTGAGTAATGGTCCATGATGTGGTTGTATGGTTTTGCAGTGCTGTCCTCGTAATATGTCTGTCCTCTCAGGCTTTAGTCATAGGAGGGCATTGAGATCATGCATGCCGTTCAGTAGGACCCTCGGCAATCCACTGATTCATATTGGTATGATAGTGGTAGGATGTTGATCAGTGCTACGTGATATCACTGAACGGTAATCCACGGTCTCCATAGGCAACGATCCTGCCTCTATCACATTCCAACACTTGCTGGTAAGCATTTCTTCTTATTATTTGAGACATAACAATATATTCTGAGCAAACTCTGACCTTACAAAATGCTTTCTAAATGAGAAATCCACTACACAATTTTTCTTTTATGCAGATCTTCAGATGTTGTTCCTCCCTCCTGTCTCGTCTAAATGTGCTGAAGTACTGATCATTTGCATATCCCAACCTCTTCTTCCTTTCGTGTGATTTTGACGTTCGTCAGATCATTTCTTCCTAGTGCTGCAATTTTATTGGCCAGCATGTAGTTCTGCGATGTGCTTGACAATACTGAAATTATTACAGGCAATAATGTAACAAATTGTTTGAGATATTATGTTGTCTATTTTCAGAACTTCATTGTACATATAATGATATACAAGATCTTTCGGGATGGAGGTAAGTTTTTGAAACTTCTAATTTGTAAAACATTTATTTTAATCTTTTAATATAAAAATTTGTAATGAATTAGCAAACCTTATTTTAAACTTTTCCAGTTGTGTATATGAAAATGAATTGATGTTACTAGTTTAGTTGCTTTGATTCTACAGTTCTTGGAGACAGTTTGAAAAAAATGAAACGAAAATGTTTGATGAAAAAGTGCCTAGTACAGTCAAAAGTCATTAATTCGGACACCCATAATCAGGAATGATCTATAATCCGGACCTCAAAGCTAAAAACTTTCTGCGCATAGGAGTTTACGCGTGCGCGTAAGACCTCTTACGACTGCACATTTGCGTGTGCGCGAGCGCATAATATGTTTCCGCGTGCGCGTTTTATGTATAAACGGACGGTATAAGCTAAAATTATCTAATTATCTATTTCAGTTAATGTTGATTGCGTTGTTCCTTAATCTTCGAATTGGATCCCGCTTATTATTTTTTGCAGACTGTAAGAGCAATTTTATAAAAGTAAACTTGAACTTTCGATTATGTCAAATAGAATTTCCGATGCTGGAGCTTCCAAAGGATCTACAAAACGAAAGTATGTTTCGATGTCCATCAAACAAAAAGTGGAATTGCTGCAAAAAATGGATAAAGACATGAAGAATGTGACAGAGAGGTTAGTGAAAACAAAAAAATTTCGATTGACAAGTTAGTCGGTATTCTCGGCACAGCAATTAACGGGACTTGAACAGCGGAACTTTGTAACTGAACAAGAAATTATGTCTGTTTATAGAATTAAAGAGAAAGTATTATCACATAAAACGAAGCAACTTAAACAACTTACATTGAAAGAAATGTTTAATAAAGTAAACAAATATTAAGCTTTTTTTTTGTAAATTTTGATACCCTTTAGATCATAATTGTTCTTTATTTCATAAATTATGGTTTCATATTTTTAATTTTAGAATTTCTGCATGCCATCTTACGCGATTTAAACTGATGATCTATAATCCGGAATCGTCGAAGTCCCGACAAGTCCGGATTAACGACTTTTGACTGTATTGTCCTAAAGAGTTTGGGAAAGAAACAAGTCAAAAATGCACCGTTATGATGCAGAGAATACATAGTATGGTTTTAATGGAAAAATACCCTCTTTTGCAAGATTAGTTTTGTAAATTACCAAGCAGGATTTTTAACAAAATAATATAGTACTGTGAAAGATGCAATACCACGAAGTCCAAGATCCAAAATCGCTGGAACGTCGGCGATTCTGGGTTTTGGAAATTTCCAGATTTTAGTCATCAGTCTAAATCTAATAAGATGGCATATAGATATGGAAACAAGGTTAGATAAAAAAGTGATCCTTATAGAGTTGCAGTAGATGTGACTGGTGCGACTGCAACCAAATTTTTAGAATTTAGAGTAGTACCAAGCAGCAAAAGTTAGGGATAGCAAAATTTTTATAGTTTAGGAAGGTGCCAGGCAGCAGAATTTAGTACCTCAGGGATTATACTCATACTTTGAGTAATAAAATATGTAAAGCTAGCCCTGCCTTCCTCCTTATAACCACTCAAGGGCTAAAAATGTAATCCTGGTCTGCATTTATACAAAATCAATGCATTGTTGCGAAGGCTACTACAGAAGGCAAGTACTAGAAAACCAGTATGAGAAACATCCTATTCTAACTAAATATGTCTTAGGACTTAAGTCAAAAAGATGCTAACCCTCATAATTATTCAAGGTCTGAAAGTGTGGTCGTGGCCAACATCAATCAGTTTATTGTTATTGGCCATAATGGATAATTCCGTAGTCAACACGTGTTTGAAAGTGACATGCATGAATCTCAACTAGTTCCAAAAAAGTCTCATTTAGGGCCTTTCTACCTCCTTTTGATATAAGTTTTTTTTTTTTTTTTTTTTTTTTTTTTTTTTTTTTTTTGCTAGTGGTCTGAATGATCAGGGTGGTGTTAGATCAGTTCAGATATTGGACATCTAGGTTTTGGTCATTGTATGGTAATAGTAAATTGCAATGGCAAGCTATATAAAAAAGATTAAGTGGAGACTTCTTTATAAGGGTACATATAAAAATTAATACATTGAGTGTTTCCCTTAATGATCTTAGTTGCTGAAATTACTGTAGTCTGAAGCCTTATCTTGAGCCATTTCTGATACAGAAATCACGTGTCTGCTTCCAGTCATTCAAAAAAGATTTACTATTGCAGTCTTTTTTTTTTTTTTCATATCTTTTTCCTTAGGTTAAAATATTTGTGTAAGACAACGCAGGGCTATTTACCTAAAGTGAAAGATTACTTTGTGAAGGGCTTTTCAAGAGAAACTGTCTTCTATTGATGTTACCCATGAGAAAAAAACATGAAAGCCAACCATATGCATCCAGTCCCGTCACCCTGGTATTAAACCCGGGTCAAACTCCCCATTCAGTGATCTTAATTACTCAGCCACTGGAGGGGACTGAAATACTCTTTATACATCTTTAAAATAATATATATTATGGTGAAATATGCTGGCAAAGCGCATTATAGGTTATTAGAGGTTTTATTCAATTTAACCTGAATATACGATACTTGTTTGAAAATGTATTACAAATGTGTCAAATTTCCAAGCTGAATAATATGCAGAGTAAAATATCTTTGTTTTTTAGGTTTTATATGTATGATTCTGTTCATTTTTATGGTAACAATACATTGCTTTTCAACTTATGAAGATGAGCTGACCATAGAAGGTAAATATGCCTGCAGTGAAATTTTAATCTGAAATAAATACATAACATTTTCATAGATTATATATCAATTTATATTAATTTCTTTATTTTTGTTTCCATTTTTCAGAATTATGTGCTGGTACCAGGGTTGTTCAAAGAATTAGTCCAAACGAAAAATATGAATTGAAGCTCAGATCTGCAACTTCAAATGCTGCTGCACATACTCATATTCAAAGAAAAATTTATCAAACATCAAAAAGAAAATGTCTTAAAAGACTTGAAACAACCGATTCTGCTTCACATTTTGTTCTTGTTATATCTAATTTTTCAATTTCATCATGTTCAAAGAAGTGTCAGTAAGTTTTGTTTCCAAACCCTGTTTTATATGCAGTGTAGTTAAAACACATTTATATATGTTGGATCTAATAGTACTATATTTTAACTTTGTATTAATTAGTATCAAGTTTTAGAATCATTCATCTAATTTTTATCAAACTGAACATTAAGAACTGAAGTTACCAAATTCATGTTAGTGTTTACAATGATTAAGAATTTACTAAAGCAATATATGCTGGCTTTATTCCTTTAAACATGATTTTATTGTGTGCTAGTAATTGAACTATTGGTTATGTTAAAATTTGAAAATGTTAGAATATTGTAACATACTTGCTGCTGATCATGCACTAGTATAGTGGTTTCAGACTCAAACTGCATGTTGACCAAATGCACGTTCTGAAAACTGCTGATGGGCCAGAAATTTTGTTTCTCATAAACAAAATGAGAAATACTTAAACAAAATGAGAAATAAATTTTGCTTTTAATTTGATAAAAACATACCTTAAAATACTAAAGTAGGAAAATTTTTTTATTTTCTATTTGAAATCTAAAATTTGGGTACCTCTGAGATATTTTTATTGGTTACAGAACATATTGAGATCTAAATATTAAATTTTCATGCTGATATTTATTTAAATAATTGATATTTTTAATTATTTAAATAACTTTAAACTAAAAATAAATTAGTTTGTTAAAATTTCTAGCCTTGGAGAGAAATTATTAGAAGTAATCTTCATCATGGACTGTAGATGCTGATTGATCAATCTGGTTCTTTTTTATTGATTATGAACTGTGAAAAAAGCTATTCATGTAAGCTATTCACATTTCCAAACAAAGCGATAATTCTTAGTGCAAAAATTCATAACCAAGTGTTTATTTTTTAACAAATATGAATAATCTACCTTCAGATCTCTGAATAAGTCATATTACTTTTTTAATTAATTTGCAATACTTATAGATTTTCTTGTATGCTAATCACATTCTCTTTCTTAAATGGCAATGAAAATAATGTAAACTCGTAGATCAACTAATTAAAATTTTAATCTCACCAACATATTTGCAACAAGTACACAATTGAAATATTCTCGTGAGTCATAACATTGCTTCAGTGACTGCCACTTTGACATGACTGCACTAGTATGAGTTGTATAGGTTTGGTAGTAAATGCTGTAAATATATATATATATATATATAAATTTTTTATGTAAATGTTTTTTTCAGAATTATCCTTTAATATGAGTAACATAAATGACAATGCACCAGGGCCTTCTTATTTTAAATGAGTGGTATGTGAATAGAGAAGATTGTACCAGATAAGGAACTTGCAAAATATTAGACAAGCATATCAGTTCCTTGGGTAACAAAAAATTCACCCCTTGCAGAAATAATTCTGAATATTCGCATGATGATATACCCAAAGAAAAATAATGCACAAATTTCAGCACATATAAAAATATCTGTTTTGTTAGGAAATGTAATTTGAAGATGATTCAGCTGTCCTTACATAAGAGAGGCTTCTGGTGAAGTAACTTTTATTTAATGGAGTTTAAAAACATTTCAAAGAGTGTAGTTCTTAGTTGAAAACTAATGAAACAATAAAGGTGAAAATTTACTGTCGCTTTTGTTCAAGAACATTCTTCTCCCACTCCCCCCTTTTTTGACTAAAATTTCAAAAACTCGTATATAACAGACATGATCTTGAAGGGATTGAAATTCCTGAAATTTATTTTGAAATAAAATATATTTAGTTTATATAAAGCTGTTCTAGAAATCTTTTTGAATTTTCTAAATAACTGAAGATTCTGAAAGATTTAGACTAGAATATTTGATAAAAATCTAATACAATTTTTTCACTTGTATTTCTTTTAAAAGGTTATTAAAAATACATTTTTGTAGCCATTAATTTTTCCCCCGTATTAGGAAACTTGATTTTGCCAAAATATTGGGCAATTAAAAGTTCATTATTTGATGCTAAAACTGAAAAGAATTAAGAATTGTGGAGGATTTCTCAAAGTTCTGTTCTTTTGCAAGATTATAAAATTTCAGTTTCTCATTGTTTGTGTGGTGGATTTATATTTCAATTAAATGTTTTGCTATGCCTGAGAATATTTTAAATGTTAACTTTCATAAGAAAGAAAAATAAAAAATAGAAAATTTGATACTTTTCCGTTTTGTTGCTGCAAATCTCGCCAAGCAAACTTTATTGGAAACAACATACAGTATACACATAACAAATGTTAGTTGTAAGAATTTTTTATTTTGAATGTTTTTACTTTTTAATATCATTTAAAATTTGGGGAAAGTGCAGAATTGCCCACTGCTTGGCGCGTTTTTAAGAATTGCATATACTCGGTATCCATGTACACATCAACCTATTTTCACTTAAAACAACATCCCAGAATTGCTCAAAAATGGCATTGACCTATTTTCACTTAAAAAGTCAAGGAAAATTGATAAAAATCCAATTCTTCCTGTTCTTGTAAAAAGCGCCAAACAAACGCCAATCAAATAAGTGGGTGATTCTGCACTTTAGCCTAAAATTTTATAAAAAGTCATTAAATAAAGACAATGAATTTGTAAAAAACCCTAATTTAAAAATTTACTATGCTTTCCTGATTTGCCGGCTCATATCCCGTAACCCCAAGTGATCTCATCTCTTATAAACTACTCTACAAAAATATAATTCTCTTAGTAATTATCTACATTAATTTCATGTTAAATCTTTAATTTTGAATACAAGTTTGAAGTGCAAGAATTATTTTAATTCATATGAATAGCTTACTTCAGAAATTATGTAAAACCTCAGTGCTTTACTTGGCTAATGTAATTCTAATTAGGAATTGATGACATTTAACTCCTTTTTATTTTGCGACTTAATTCTACATAATTATTGCTTATGGGGTGAGCGGTGTGATTGCATCCTAATTGACTTAATTATCGCGAATGGCCTTAGGGCATAAAATTGAAATATCTGGTAAAAATTCTATGTAATTGTATGCCAGTATTGAAAGAATCAATCTGATGGCTGCGACTTGTTTTGAAAATGAGGCATAAAAGGTTACCATCGAGGATATTCCGTTTGGCATCATTTGTACCATTATTGGCGACTTTATTGCCTGCTCCAACAAAACGGAAAAGTACCAAAAATTTAAATCGCATTGAAAATAATTTGCTTTAAATTTAGAAACACTTCTGGACTGTAAATTCAAAATCTTTAATTGAAAAAATTCCTGAAAGACATTATTTTGTGTTTAAAATGTTTTGAGATTTTTTTTAAACTTTCTTGTTTAATAGATACTTTTATGAGACTTAAAAAGTTAAACTTTTAACTGAAAAATTTGTATTTACAAAATTTTTACAGATGTAATTATTTTGAAGTAACTGAATCAGGATATTCAAGAAAGTATTGTGGAGAAAGCACCAGCGATGAGTATTTTGAATCAAAGAGTAATGTTTTATCTCTAGAGTTTCTGAAGGGATTATCAATGCGTTTTGAAGTGACTTTAAGTTTTACTGTAGAAAGTGAGTGATCTATTTTACATTTCATATTGCATACAAAAATCTTATATAGTTATATATCATCCTATCAACTATAAAACAGTCTTGAAGCAGTGTAATCTAGTTCCAGTTATAGATAAGCAAAATGTGACAACACTCTCATAACATCTGTGCTTTCATTTGATTCAACCGCAATTAATTCTCAATAATCTAGCTTGTTTCATGTTATCACTGAGGTACAGTTACAGCTATATACATAGTTTCTTTAAAGTTATTTTCTGTTTTAGGTATATGAAATAATGCAGTTAAATAAACAGAAAGTAAATAATTCAGAAATCCAGTTATGGTCTGCCATCAGCCACAACATTGTCTTTACCAAGTGCATGTTTAATTAAGTTGTATTGTTTGAGAGTTTTGAAAAAATTAGGCCACGGGCTGACCATTCTGCATCCAAACAGCATCCTACAGTGTAATTTGAGGCGTCACCGAAGTTTCAAGGTTTTCGTCTTTTACGGGAAATTTTAAAACCAGCACTTGTATCAATGTGTTTTTAACTTCTCAAGTGCTGCATTAGCCTCAGCTGACCAAGAAAACCATGCTTTCTTTCATTTCAATTTTAACAGCGTTTTGGCTATCTGTGCAAAGTCCTTTATGAATGTTTGATAATAAGAATAAATGCCCAAAAATGCTGCTAACTTTTTCATTGTGTTTGGTGGCGGGTAGTTCTTTATTGCAATTATTTTCAAATCTTCAGTTCGCATACCCCTTTCAAAAATTTTATAGCCTAGGTACTGAAGTCTCTTTTGTCTCAAATTTACATTTGGCTGCATTCACTTTTAAACCTGCATATCTTAATAGTGTTAATTTAAATCATTAATATGTACATCAATATTTTTACTAGTTACCATTATGTCATCAAGGTATGTAAAGGTAGATTTTACCAGGTCTTAATGTATGCCAGAAGGTCACCGAGGCTGCATACAAGCTGAAAGGCATTCTGAGAAAGGCATAAGTTCCTGATTTTGTTATGAAAGTAGGTTTTTTTGGACATCTTTGGGTTTCATAGCTATTTATTTTGGCACCAGATGTAGAGTCTAGTTTGCTCAGCTATTGTAAAATGTGACTAGATCTACCTAAGTGTGATACTTGTGACTTCTTGCACAGGATTGAGCAGAGCCATAGCTAGGTTTTTCAGCACCCGGGGACAAAGGAAGATTTTGTGCCTCTTTCTGTATGCCAATAGAATGGAAAATGTTTCATTCTAAAATTTCATAATGTTAATCTTGCTACGTCTGAATGCTGTGCCTCGGGATATATGTCATCCCTTTTCCTACTCTAGCTATGCCACTGGGATTGAGGAAAAGGAAGGACAAGCAGGGAAGGGTGTAAAGCTGCGTTCAGACGTGGGCGTAAAGCGCATAGAGGCATAGGGCATATAAGGGCATAAAATACAGGAACGCTGTGGAGCGCAGTGAATTGGAAGTTGATCTGTCAGCACTAGCCTTATCTTCAGGGCAGATGTTTTTATTTTATTTGGCTTATAATTCCTTACTAAATGTAGTATTTCATCTCCATGTACTTCGTCTTTGATATGATTTAAATCCAATTCCTCATCATTATAATTCGCTTCCGATAGTGAAGAAAGTGACAGAGATTATTGAAAACGAAAAATTTTCATTTGACAAATTAGTCTATATTCTTGACACAGCAATTATAGGACTTGAACAGTAGAACTTTGTAACTGAACAAGAAATTATGTCTGTTTATAGAATTAAAGAGAAAGTATTATCACATAAAACAAAGCAACTTAAACAACTTACATTGAAAGAAATGTTTAATAAAGTAAACAAATAAATATTAAGCTTTTTTTTTTTGTAAATTTTGATACCCTTTAGATCATAATTGTTCATTTCATAAATTATGGTTTCATATTTAAAATTTTATACTTTCTGCATGCCATCTTATCAGATTTAAACTGATGATCGATAATCCAGAATCGCCGAAGTCCTGACGAGTCCGGATTAACGACTTTTGACTGTATTTTTACTGTTAAAAAAAAACCCAGCAGATTCTTGATATTGATTTGATGTTTTAGTAAAATTAATTCATGAAGTTTATTTGGAAAGAAAATCAGCATTTGAAGCAAAGCAATACAATATTTCTAGCTTTTTTAATAAATTTATTCTTAAATACAAAAATAATTAAACAGGAAAAAAATCATAGTAATAATTTTCCTACTTACTATTTATAAAAAAATAGGCAGAAAGAAAGTAATAATAATAATTTACACAGAAAAAATTAAATTTTTTTGCAAGTATGCATTTTTTTAAAGAATTTTCATAATAAAATGAAAATATTGGATGGGATCAATCATCTACAGGATCATACACTAGTGTGCATAATCCTGAGCTTTAACTTTCGCTTTACGAAGTTTCATCCATATTTTTCAATATTAATGTGAAAACTCATTAAAAAATGCATGTCATCATCGTAGATTTTCTTGCCAGGTCAACTCTTTATTTTGTTCGTTCGGATACGTTTACACTCATTATTTTGTTCGGATACGTTTACAACTCATTGATTACGACTACGATTACAACTCATTTGGATGTGATGTGTTCCATATTAAAAAAAAAGTCGCCTTCGATGTGACAGCGAAATCGTCTAAAGAAAGCCGCTTCATTTTAGCTTCGCTCTGATTGGTCGACGCTTATCCCAAACTCGGCGTAAAGTTGAAAACTTGGAACCCTATCCCACGACCAGGATTCTGTGACGTAGCAGTGACTGATTGCCTTGGCAACGGAGCTTGGTTTTAACCACTTATGCCCTTTACGCCCTCGTCTGAACGGGGCCTAAGAGACCTTTTATTAAGGCCTTTTATTAAATACAAAATATTTAATTTGTATTTAATAAAAGGGTCTTTAATAAAAGGGCACAGACTTATGTGCTTACACGAATCACTGACCACTTGCAATGAAAACATAAAAGCTAATACATAACTAATTTAAAGGAAAGAGTAGTGTGAGACTACACAATTCAACTTAAGCTGACAGATTGATTCCGAAACTGACACTGGCAGGATGTTAACTAATGGCAAGAATGCATAGCCACTATTAATAGCTGTAGAAACTAATACACTCACAATAGCAAAATTGTGCTCTGTGTAACCTTTTCACTCCAATAGTTTACTCTTGTTTACCTTACTTCATTTACAAGCTGGCAGGAAAATGAGAATTCAGGAAGGGCTTACAAATTAAAATAACTCGTGGAAAATCCTTCAACAACTGGCCAGACCTTGTAAAAGCCCTCGCGGATTTCTTTGCTTCCAAAACTCCTAAGTTTTACCGCGATGACATCGCACAGCTAGCCACTCATTGGCAACAGGCACTGGATGTCGATAGTGATTATGTTGAGACTTAATGGTGATTATTATTTGTTTTATGACTTTTTAATTAATGCATTAATGCATTCTGTATAGAAGCGGTGTATGAGGACAATGTAGTTTTATTACAATTCAAACAAAATTAAAGTATGTGTTGAGCATTCAGTATCATACCATATTTTAGCAAAGAAACTTTGGTTTCTTTGATCAAAAGAAGATCCTTCTTTTGCTACACTTTGTCAGATTTCTCAGACTCCGTCTTCTGTGTTCTTTTCTTATGAAGATAACATGGAGTCTACATTTTCAGTCAATCAAAGCTATCCAAAATGACAGGATGATCACTGTCTGTGATTCGGTACCAGAAGAGGCATTTTACCAATGCTTTCAGGAATGCCAGGAGCATTGGAGCAGATATATGCATTCTGTTGGATTTTACTTCAAAAGGTGGTTAGGTAAAATTAAAAGAAAATTTTAAACAGAGCTACTCTTCATTTTTCACAACTTGTTTGAAGGCAGGAGTATTATTGTTTTGATTTTCAGTCATTACTTTACAGAGTTGTAACTAGGGAGAGCAAGGAGGGACGTCTGTCCCAGGGTGCAGCATCCAAGGCACTTCAAATTTATATTACAAAATTTTAGACTGAAAATGTTTTTCATTCTTGGCAAACAAAAAAGGGGTATATAATCTTCAGCTGTCCCCAGGCACTGAAAACCTTAGCCATGGCTCTGAAGCAGAAGGATGCATTTGGTGAACTTTCTCAGGGAAAGTGTCTCGTATCCACATTATACAAAGGGAAAGCCACGAAAATGGCAATACGAGCAACCCATTTGCCTGGATTTGAACTGAGGTGAACTACTATTGTTAGGATCGAAAGGAGGAGTTTCATTAATCTGTAAGGAATTTTCTCCTTTACCCATGTGCTTGGAAACTCTAGTTATGGTTCTGTGACTTTTATGCTATTTTTACTTGCATAGTTTACTATCCTTCCATACTTGGTACACATTGCTATGGTAAATTAAAAAAATTTCTAATTTTGAAATGTTTCAGAGAAATTATACACGTAAACATGCTATTTTTTTTTAAATCTAAACCAACTTCTTTTTCTTTAACCCCTTCTTTCAGAAATGATATATGCAATGTAGTTTTCCCTTCCTGAATTGCATATTGCACAGTAAATGAAAGGGGAGATAGTTATCTGGGTAAATTTGGTAGTTTAATTTGATGAATGTAATCAGATGCTTTTTGAGAAATTCTGTGTTCAGTATCCTATATAGTTGCATTTATGTTGAGCACAGATTGAATACAGTTTTTGTCTTATTATGGTAATTTATTTTTGAACTGTTTGTATTAACATATTTGCTTGTTTATTGAGTACTAGCAAGCAATTCTTTTTTCAAGCTTTGGAAAGTTTATTTCTCTTTCATAGGAAACTCGTATATTAGAACTGGATCTTCTATAAATCATCACTTTCAATATATTGAGACTCCATATTTTCCAAATGCATACCAAAATAATTATGCTGCAGAATATCTCTTACAAGCAGATGATCTTAATGATCATGTTGTTCTACTCTTTCTGGACTTTCAAATTGCGCCAGGATCTTTCGTTGAGGTAATAACTTATTGATATTTTGAAATATCTAACTAAAATTGTTTTATTTTTTGTTCGATGTATTATTTGGTAATTTTCATATATACCCTCATTTTGATTCTATATATGTATATCTTTACATGTCTGTATTTAATGAGAATATGTGTAGGCTTTAAGTGGGAAAAAATAATTTTAAAATTTCATCCTAAGCATTTCTGGAGTTTTGGGACTTGTCTTTGATGAGATTATGTTAAATTTTCAAATTTTTATTCCAAGTGGAAGATGGTGCTCAGTAATACCATAGTTTAAACATTTAATAAAAATTTCTAATTTTCTTTAAATGTAAAGCAAATGGGATGGATTTTTGTAAATATTTCATTTATTTGTAAATAATACTTCATGTTCCCTTTAAATATGTTGTAAACATTTTTTAGCATCTCTAATTGCCAAAATTGAAATTTATACTATTTAAATGTATCAGTTAAAAGATATGTCATTATTTTAACAGTACTGTAATGTACTTTAACTTGCAATGTTGATCATTGTTGGTAAAGAACTGCCTAGAAGGATTTCTGAAGTGGAAAAGAAAAGAGGAGAAAATAATATGCAAGGCAACAGTTGCCTGATCATAAGCATAAAATTCATTCTATTCATGTGCTTCCCTCTTACAACTGAGTTACGTTTCAGATGATCATTCATACTATGAATTAATTTGTAAAATGTTATAAAGTTTACAATGCATATATCCTAAAGATGTTTGTGAGTTAAAAGGTATAAATACTTAAGACACAATAACGTGCCGAACAAATACTAATTCGGAAGTCAAACAACAAAAATCAGCGTTATATTTTCAAATTTTCACAGGACTAGTTTGGATGGTTTTACTGAACCACCATCCTCAGCTGCAAAAGTGCAAATGAACGAGATGGGCTACAATGATCAGATAAGAAAGCCTGGACAGAAAATAAGCTAGTGGCGCCATCTGTTGATGAAACCAGAACTAAAACATAATTTCTTTAAAGGCCGAAGGCAAAGATGGATTGGAATTAGGATCGTTAACTAGAACAAAGATTTTTTTGAATGTGAAATTCCTCTAGGAAATCCAGTTCTCCAATGGAAGATGTTTTTTGAATAATTTTGGCAGCAGAAAAATTGCAAGTGTGATTTTCGGACCAACAATGTTGGGCAATAGAAGACTTCTGTGTTTTTTTTTCTAACATATGCCTCATGCTATCCTTGACGCGAAATTTTAAGGCTCTCATAGTATGGCCAATGTAAATTAAACCACATTGGCAAGGAATCCTATAAATACCCCAGGAATTCATATCCGAATGGGGTCCTTGAGTGAACTCGGATTTTATTGATGGAGAATAAACGACCCGAAAGTTAAATTTCTGCAAAATATGTCAACTTTATAGCTAATTGATGGAAAGAAGGATGGCAACAGAATTTTATAATCTCCTAAACCAAGAGTATGCCTTTTTAGTGTGTTGAGATGAGAATCTTTTAATGTTGGGTGAAAAGCCTCTGTCAATAGCTATTGCTTTTAAATAATAGTTAATAATGATTAGTTCTTCATCAAGGGATAGTTTGGAGGAGCAAACTTGAAGAGCACGGAAGACATAGGAATAAAGTGAAGGTAACTTTAAACTTTTAACTCTGAAACTTTAACTTTAGTCTAAACTCTTTAACTTTACTCTTTAAACTGCAAGCTTGCCTTACTTCGGTCCATCATAAGAAATATACGTCAACAAATGTCCAAAATTGAACATGAGCTCTATAAGCTTCATCTGGAAATCGCTAATTCATATCCAAAATTCACTGCTCTTGAACAAAAGTCTTGCTCTAGAACGGAGAATGCAGTTAACCGTCATAAAAACACCCTTGCAGTTAAATTCGAAAAACTTCTTTTTCAGTCTTCCAGTTCAAGTAGTTCAAAAAATCTTTCCATTGTAAACATTAAGCCAATAGTTAATATTTCTAATATTAGTTTATCAGAACAAGTGAGAATTCTAAAATATAATTTTAACTTCTCATAAACCTGTAAACCCTCGATTCCAAAGATTTTGGCTCCTATCGAAAAAGCTTTCAAGTTCAGTAAAGTTTCAGATTCACAGAAAGAAATGATTAGGCATTTTACCGCTCATAATGTGAAATTCAATAATAAACCTTTGAAACCAAATTTAACTGTGAGAGAAGAAGCTACAATGTGCAAAATTCATTCTAATCCGGATATTATCATTTCAAAGGCCGACAAAGGTGGCCAGATAGTTGTCATGGATAAGAACACTTACATTGATGGTGTCACTAAACTCTTAAACTAAGGACCATATAATCTGATTCGTAAAGATCCTTCACCTTCGGACCTGTCAAAAGTAAAAACTGCAATCAAATCTTCACAAATCATTTCAAGCAACTTAAAACATTCGCTTATCCCATCTGTTGCGAACTGTGCCATATTATATGCTCTTCTCAAAATTCATAAAAGTGGTACTCCTTTCCACCCTAGTGTATCAAATTTAGGTACTGCCTCGTATCCATTAGCTAAATATTTAGTTTCTAGATTTTCAACTCTATTTGACAATAACATTTACACCATGAAAAATTCAATAGAGTTTGTAAAAAAGGTTAAAAACATTTCTCCTAGAAATTTACTCATGATTTCTTTTGATGTAAAATCATTATTCACCAATATTCCAGTGGAGGGTGCATTAAGATGCCTAGAAACCAGACTTCTCGAATTTCATTTCTCTTGTATCGAAATTGATGAGCTAATTTCTCTCACTCAACTCTGTTTGAAACAAACACATTTTGTTTTCCAAAATAAATATTACAAGCAAACGGGGATTAGCCATGGGAAGCCACCTCAGTCCCATCCTGGCTGATATCTACATGCATTATTATGAATCAAAATTGTTTGAAACTTTAAACTTCCCGGTATGGTTCCACTACGTAGACGATACGTTTACCCTGTTTGAAGGTAATAAAGATGATTTAAATAAAGTTCTTTCAACAATGAATTCTATTTTGATCCTGCTGTTCAGTTCACTTTTGAACTTGAGACATGCAATTCTCTTCCGTTTCTCAACATTCTGGTCACATGTAACACATCCAACTTCAGTACTACGGTTTACTATAAACCGTCATCGGTTTGCCTTCCACCACACTTTTAAATCATGTCATCCGACTAAACAAAAGTTAGCTTCATTTTATTACTATGTTTTTTTGTGCTCTTCAAGTTTGCTCTTCCAAACTATCCCTTGATGAAGAACTAAATTATTTAAAAGTAATAGCTATTGACAGGGGCTTTTCACCCAACATTATTAATCAAGCAGTTAAAAAATTTTCATCTCAACACACTAAAAGGCACACTCTTGTTTTAGGAGATCATAAAAATTCTATTGTCATTCCCTTCTTTCCATCAATTAGCTATAAAGTTGCGCATATTTTGCATAAATTTAACTTTCGGGTAGTTTATTCTTCCATCAATAAAATTCAGAGTTCCATACTGAAGGACCCCATTCCGGATATGAATTCCTGGGGTATTTATAGGATTCCTTGCCAATGTGGTTTAATTTGCATTGGCCAAACTATAAGGGCCTTAAAATTTAGCGTCAAGGATAGCATGAGGCATATGTTAGAAAAAATGAAACACAGAAGTCTTCTGTTGCCTACATTGTTGGTCCGAAAATCACACTTGCAATTTTTCTGCTGCCAAAATTATTAAAAAAACATCTTTCATTGGAGAACTGGATTTTCTAGAGGGATTTAACATTCAAAAAAATTTCTGTTCTAGTTAACGATCCTAATTCCTATCCATCTTTGCCTTCAGCCTTTAAAGAAATTGTTTTAGTTCTGGTTTCATAACAGATGACACCACTAGTTTATTTTCTGTTCAGGCTTTCTTATCTGATCATTGTAGCCTATCTCGTTCATTTGCGCTTTTGCAGCTGAGGATGGTGGTTCAGTAAAACCATCCAAACTAGTCCTGTGAAAATTTGAAAATATAACGCTGATTTTTGTTGTTTGACTTCTGAATTAGTATTTGTTCGCCATGTTATTGTGTCTTAAGTATTTATACCTTTTAACTCACAAACATCTTTAGGATATGTGCATTGTAAACTTTATAACATTTTACAAATTAATTCATAGTTTGAATGATAATATGAAATGCAACTCAGTTTGTAAGAGGGAAGCACATGAATAGAATGAATTTTGTGCTTATGATCAGGCAACTGTTGCCTTGCATATTATTTTCTCCTCTTCTCTTTTCCACTTCAGAAATCCTTCTAGGGCAGTTCTTTACCAACAATGATCAACATTGCCAGTTAAAGTACGAAAGGTAAAGGAAACTTTATGAAGACTTAGCTACAAGAAGTACGTGTAAAGAATACATGGGATTAAAATAACAGACAACTGTATTGTGAATACCCTTCAAGCAGGCTACACAGACAAGAACTTGTTTGATGAGAGCTCTTTTGCTCAACAGGAGAGGCTAAGGGCCAACGGTTTTAAAGAAAATGAAGTCATAAAAAATTCAGGCTGGAATTTGTGATTTAGAGATTTATGATGATGATCCAGAAGACATGGCTATATAAGAATAAATGATTTTGTTCGTTTTTGAATGTTTCTTCAACCTGAGTAAATGTATTTCTTGAATTTGAGGAAATGTTTCTTGAACATGAGCAAATGTTAATTATTGTGCATGAAAAATAAGACATTCTCTGAAAATAAGCCATAGCTTGCTTTTTTCAGTGAAAATTAATATAAGAGTGTGTCTTATTTTCTGGGAAACATGATATTACAATAGCATTTATGGTATCTCTCTGAAGAGTGAATGGGTCTTGCTATTTTGTCTTGCAAAAGTTCCAGATTTTGATAAAAGGTTATCAGTAATATGGCTTCTGTCGAATCAAAGCCATTAATGGTACAAGACAGCCCAGTTCCTCTCAGAGATAAGCCAGGCTTTAGGTTATGTCATTTGCTACTTCAAGAGCACCCTTTCATGAATGAAGATTTAATTCATATATTTAGCTTTTGAACTACAGTGGAAGGAAAGCAAAGACTTGGGAGTATTAAAAAATCTAAAAGTGCTGAATAATGCAACTGAGCAAAGTATTAATTTGTTTAAGGACTTGGAATGCTAACTAAAAATGAAGTAAAATAGTTTTTAATGAAAGCTATTTACTAGAAAAGTTTCTTCAGGGAAGAGACAAAATTCTGCAAGTATTCAGATTTTAATGTTGCACCAGAGGGTTTGTTAAGGTTATTTTTATGCTCTCCCTGAGCTCCCAGTTTACTTACTAGTTTCCTGTTGGACTCACTACTGCTAACAGAGCTTTTTTTCGTCTTTTTAGTTTTATTAATTTTATTATTAAACACACTTACTTTGGATTTGGACCACATAAAATTCAGCAAAGAAATAACAATTTTTAAAACTAGCATATCTTTAGAATTCCTGATAGTGCTAAGCCAACGTTTTTTAGCTCAAAAGTATTGCATATTATTCTTATACAACTTTATCTTCACTTTCTTCACCACATAAAATCAATTGCAAAGTACTTAAAAAGTATGTTTGAGGCTGATGTAACTGTATAGAAATTCCTATGGAATTTTATAGGTAATTATAAAACCTCTAAAGCTTTCATAGAACAGAATTCTATAAAAATGTTGCATAGCGAATATCTACAGGAATTTATAAAGCAGTGGTCTCAAACTGTAAGCCACATGTAGCTCATGAATACACTTCAATTGTTCAATTATGTATTTGTTGTTAATGCTGTACGTAGATTTATGTACAGTGCAAATTCATTGTATAGCCGATTACAATGTAGTGTTTATTAGGAGAATAGGAAATCACTAGGAGTCATTACATTTCAATTGAGTTCAAACCTAGCAATGGCACATAACGAAAAGTGCACATGTAACGCGTATAAAAGCACTCTGAGAGACTTGCAAAAGATAAAAGAAGATATTAATCATAACATCACGGTGACAATATGAACAATAAAGACAAAGGTACAGACATAGAATAAGTTGTCATTTTTTATTCTCATGTTTGGAAAGTTTTATATTTTTAAAGTTTTTGTTGAGCACATTATTTAGTGGTTCATTTAATATATTGAAATTATTTGAAATAAATGTCAGTTCAAAAATTCAGTATTAACCTGTTAGTAGGTTTGAATTACAAAGTATTAACCAACAGAAACCTCTTACAGATAGAAAATAAACATTACAGATCTGAATATTTTCTTTTGTACTATTATTATTGTTTATACTTATTGTTATTTATGTATGTTTTGAGAAATATTCAGCAAAAATTAAAAGTATGTTTAATTTTAGTTATAGTTTGTTAAAATAAAAAATTCTGGCTCATCATTTGCTTTCAGGTTGTGTGTTCGGCTGCACAACAATCACAACAATTTGAGTTTGAGACCTGCGCTTTATAAACTGCTATTATACAGGAATCTGCAAAATTTTCAAACTTTAATCAAAGCAGATTTTCAGTTTCTGATGTACTATATAGGACACAGAAGAACAAAAACAATTTTTTTTATTCATAAGTGTTAAATAATTTTTAAATGGAATTTTTTTCCCCTTTCTCTTCTAGCTGAATGATTTTTAGCTTCTAGATTTAAGTAACATTTTGGGTAATTTTTTTTTATATGGTATTATTTATACGAGGGTTGGGGCAAAAGTCATGGCAACTATTTTTTTTCTTGTAGATATGTGAATGGATCACAAAACATATATGTGTCATGTGGAAGTTCTGCAGGCATAGTGTGTATGCAGAACGACAGATGGCTCTGTGATAGCGAGAGTTCTGAAAATCAGTCAGTTGGTGAGTGTCGTGCGAGATGGAAATAACTAGTGCTGAACAGCGCGCTTACATCAAAATAGCCGTTCTCCAAGGAAGAAATGCGATGGAATGTCACAGTGAATTAGTAGAAGCCCTTGGGTATAATGCCCTACAATATCATACAGTAGCATGGTGGGTTAGAAAGTTTCAGCAAGGAGGTTTGTCAACCAGTGATGAGCAACGTTCGGGATGACCGGTGAGTGTGCTGTCATCAAGCACCTCATGGATGAAGACAAACGATGGACGTTACTGGAATTAGAGAGGGCATGTGGTATCGAGAAACGCACCATCCACGGGATATTGCATAATGAGCTACAGCTACACAAAATCGTTTCGTGGTGGGTACCGCATGCACTGACGGAAGTTCAAAGGTGGGTGTGCTATGCAATATGCTCCGACCACTTTGCACACTGGCAACAGGATAATGATCAATTCTTTTCATGAATAATCGCCATCGATGAATTTTGGGCCAGGGCATACAAACTAGAACTGAAATGTCGGTCCACGGAGTGGCGACATCCTGGATCACCAAGGCAGCAGAAGGTCCGTCAGAATCCTTTCCCAGTCAAATTTATGGTGATCTTCGTGTATGATGTCAGGGGTGTCATTGTTTGCCACTTTGTTCCTCATGGCAGAACAGAGACCGCACGGTACTACAGGGACTCATGTCGACTTAATGTGTATTGTGTTATCATTCTTTTGCACGGTGAAGGCCATGTTGCCCTGTATACTACTGTAATAAATTCGTGTGTTATGATATTTCAGTGCTATTCATTGTCCATACATGTAGTTAAGACCTTGTTGCCTCAACCTACGTATATACAAAAATCAAGTTTTGCAAAAGCATAAAATAAATTTAAACAAGATGCTCAAGTAAGGATGCCATTTTTGTATGCATTGTTCTTTTGTTGTATTCCAATGGTTTTTATAAACAAATTGTGATGTATTTTACCTTAAACTTAGTTTTAAATTATGAGTTTGTGGAATTTGCCAACAATGGAAGAAACTTCGATAAAATTTTTATTGGAATACATAATTTTGTTGAAAATTTTCAAAAAGGAGCGATGGGGAAATATTTCCTAGGTAGCTGCTATTGCCAAGGATTGCACAAAGCCGAGTCTGCACAATTCTCAGATTTTTTTTTAAGTGAAAATAGATTGCTGTGTACTTCGAAAAAAGAATAGCACAAAAAATTTACAAAAAGATTTGAAGAATGTGTTTTATTTTTTAATGTATCATTAATTCTTGTTTTATAATTCAAATTTGTATTTTAAATTGCTGAAGTGTTTTCTTTCCATATGTTGATAATGTTTACTGTCTTACGATAAATATCGATGGTATGGGAATCTTTCTGAAAAAGGTGAGAATTACCAACTTGCATCCAATAAGTAACTTTTACCTTTAAGTTTGTAGAAAATCGCCAAAATACGCCAGGGTGGTAGTGTTTATTCGTAGGTACCAATAAATATGTATATGTTTTTCCTTATTTCTCAATATTAACTAGTTAATTATATTATGCATTATAATGTTGCAAATATTTATGTTTACATCATGTCATTAATTACTTGTTTTTTTCACAGATTGTTGGTCATAATGGAACTCGTCCATTTCGATTTTATGGAGATATATTTCGTCCACCTTTCATTGTGTCTGAAACACACAGATTAAATTTACGTTTTGAAGCCAACAATCAACTTGCGAGACTTGGTTTTCGGGCTCTGTATTCATTTGTAAAAGGTTTGCATTTTTTTCCAAATATATAATGCTATTTTATTAAGTGCTTTAGAAATTATAAACTTGCATTCTTTGAAATTCTGAAGTTTTGTTTTAAAAAGCTCAAATAAAAATAAGTATATTTAAAAAATTTAGTTTATACTGAATATTATAATTTTTTTTTTTTTATCTTAGGTAAAATTTCTGAAGTCGAAAAGCCTTTCACAGGTAATTGTAAGTTTCGAGTTTGATTTCAAACACACAAAAAAAAATCTCATATTTGGTATGGTAGGAATGGTTTTTGCAGCATTTGAAAGGCTTTACATTTGAGGCAGTAAAAAATGCTTAAGGAATGAAAGAAAAAGAATTTGAATGAATTTATTTCTATTTCGCGTGAACTTGACATTTGGTAATCATAATTTATGTTTGTTATAAAGTTAATGGAATAATTAAAGGAAAATTAAGGACTGCATTGAAATTTGGCAAAATATCATGCATTAGTTAAGTATCATCAAACTGTTAAAAATATTAGAATTTTATCTAACAACTAGGGCTATACATTTGACTGACTGGTGCATTTCCTTGTCTTATTAGATTATTCATAAACTGCATTTTTCTGTTATCTTTAATGCATAGTCTTAAATTAAAAAATCTGTAACAGCTTATGTCAAGCAAATAAAAAAAAATTCAGTTGCATTTTTTGACATTATCAAAAAATCAAAAACAGAACATTTTAATTTTTATGTTTATCACTATCAAAAACAGAACAGAATTATTTTCTAGGTTTTCGTTTGGGTATTTAATATTTTGTGCCTAATTTAACTGTGTGACAGCAGTTATGGTGTTGAATATTTTATATTTTCTTGTTATTGGGAATAATGGAATTACAAAGGCTTTTAGTTTTTGATCATCTAATTATTTTTAAAGAACCAAGGAAAAGTTAAGAAAATAAAGGGCATTCTTGTAGATGCCCCCTGCAGAAAGGTTTAGACATTTATTTACTTGTTGGTTTTGATAATGGCTATCAGATTTTATTTTTATAGTATTAAAATAATTCAAACATATTTATATACCTTCTGAAATTTGACTTGAAGCATATTAATCATTAGATTTTCTTTTTCCATCTGATAAAAACTATTTATTTATCAGATGGATTGTAACAGTTTTACATCAAACTTTTGATTATCTGTAGGAGGATTATCTGTGCATTGTTTTTAAAAGGAAAAAAGTTGTATATACATGTATTCATACATGAAAATGATGAAAAACTTTTCAGTAAATGCCCTTGTTTAGGCTTACAATGAAGTTCAAAACTTAATCTAATTCATGCTTGGCTTTTCTTTTTACTTTTAATGCATAGCCTGTGTCTGAATAATTAAGTAAATATGCAGCAGCTTAAGTTAAGCAAATGTTAAAAATCCCATCAGGCTGCAGCTTGGAATTATCAAACAGAACATAGCTATTTAGTTTTCCTCTGATATTCTAGGTCTGACAATTTCCTGATCTGTTCTCTGATCACTGATACTGCAAAAGATGAAAATTCTGCACATGAAATATGTAACTGCATTGAATCTTGTTAAAATTATTTTTGTTGTGCAAAGTAAAAGTTCAAAAAGGGAGAAAATGGGTTAACTTTGCCAAGACAGCATCTATTCTAAAAAATTTTATTAGACCAAACTGTCTTGGAATGTAGTAATTCAAAAAGAGCTAGTAAAAGAAGAAAATTAAGATAACCATAGTTAAGTACTGAACTAAGACAAGTTCTTAGAATGAGTTAATATAATATGCTAGAGTTTAGTTAGTTTTAAATGCTAGCATGATTTTCCTGAAACTTTTAATACATAAAACTGGAAATCTATATAAACATTATCTTCAATTTAATTTTAAATACTGTACTCTTTCTCTAAAACTTTTAAACTAAACTTTAAAACTAGTATATGCTTTCCTTAAAACCTCTTAAAGGGTTCATTTTTTAACTGATAAAATTGTATTTATGCAAGGTCTTGCATGTGTTGGTCATGCATAACCCTACATTAATTAGAACAAATAGCTGAGAGTTTGGTGTTTTCTTTAGTGAAAGTTTTTTATGCTGTCAGTGTAATTTTAACGCATGAAACTTAAAGTATCAAATCTGTTAAGCCTGATACACTTACATTTTTTAATTTAGTAGCCCAAAAGTGCTGTTAGTCTTGATATACAGTTTTGCATTTCACTGTAATGTGTTGTTTCACTTTTCATTCGAGTCTGTTGCTATTTGATGAAATGTAAGGGATTTTATCTTCGAACTAAATCTGTTTGTTACCAACTGATAAACAGTCTTAAATATTATTTTTTTTTTTTACTTTTGGATTCAAAAGGGCCCACCAGCCGCCGAGCGGTAAAGTAGCTGAACACTGGTAGTTCAGTCTGAGGTTCGAATACTGCAAACGGGCTGGCTGCATGGGTGTTTTCGTGGTTTTCCCCATGTGTAACGTGTATACGAGCCAGTTTTCCTTAGAAAGTCCTTCACGAAGGCATTCCTTCCCTTAGGCAGATAGCCCTAGTGTGCTTTGCCATAATTAAGTACACCACACTTGGATTCAAAAGGTTGATTTGAGTAAAAATGCATTTCATTTATAGTATATTTAATTAAAATTTCCAATATTTTCAGGGAATGATGTTCTATTTTTTCATTTCTCAAATATACAGATGTTGTAGAATGCTGCCATGTTAGTATAAATGTTTATTCATCTAGCATCCTCTAAAAATGTCTCAGGTCACCATCTGGGCCATCTGTATCAATATTCTCTACTGATAAACCATATTAAACTTTAAGAGTCCTTTTGGGCAATTGTTAAAATCTGAATGCTTTCAGATTTTGTTTGTGTATTTATTATTATTTTTTTTTTTAATTTGCAGTGGCTCATATTTGCTTTTGGATACTTGTATTTTTGAAATGTATTTATTTACATAGGTGTTGTACTAAATACTGAAACACAGACTTCAATTTTTTTTCTAATGTATTAATTTATTTTTGGCATTGTTTTTGCAATATTAATTGTGAATAATTCTTACTTCTACTTTTTAAACATTTTTTTAATTATCTGTAATAACATTTATATCTTTACTGTAGCTTGTGGAGGTTTTGAGAATGGATATGGAGGGTCTCTCTTTATACCAGTTCAACAGGATTATCAACTATATGACTGCATATGGCATGTAATCTATCCTTTCTTGCCACATACCACATCACACTTTTTATCTGTTTTACTGTTATCTTTAGAAAATATTGGTAAGTAAATTTTCAGGATTTTAATATTTTCCTTACCTAAAAATAGCCATACCATCCTTCCTTACCCATACTTTTCTTTTTATATGAAATTGTTTTTGAATTTATTATATACAGGATGATTAAAAAATAGGTAGTTATCTTCTGTAGTGGACTCTGTGAGAGAAAATGGCATTAGCGCAATTTGGGCTTAAGAAAGTGGAGTTTGTTGTCATATTATAAATATCCACGACAAAGGAAAGTGATTTCTATGATGAACAATAGATATGATTTCTATGATGAAATAGGCTATTCATTCAATATCTGTGTAACACAAGTTTTTTAACATATACAAATATGAGAAATTTAATATAAATTAGTATTCACTATAGTGTTTAATACAAATTTGCTAGCAATTTAGAAAAAAATGGACACATACCAGGAAATTCACTTTTTACAGATCTTTTCTGATGGCCACAGTTCAGCAGTTGCTATTAATAATGCCTCAAACAACAACTATAGCTTCTTTTTCGATTGATGGGAGTTTTAAAAAGTAAGCGTAATGAGTATTTTACAGTTAAGAAAACCCTATATTAACATAATGCAATTATGAAAAATTGATTATGGATTGCTAACCATTTATTTCTCACACCTGTAGAGATTGGTAACTGCTTTTTTGTAGATGCAGAGATCGATAACTTCGTATTTCTCACCAGTGCGAAAATGTGGCAAATTCATTCTCTTACTTGAGTCCCTACAGAAGACAAGACTCAATATCTGACAAATGGCCAAATTAAGCATATTTCCCATTCAAATTTGGAGCAATATGCATCACTACTCAAATGTGGATGACATTCATTTTATGCAGATGGAAATGGAATAGCTGCTGAAAAGAACCACATGTGGGTTTTCAGTCAACCAGATGCATGTATTCTGGGAGTTGACACATCCAGACAAGTGAAACCGAGCTTCATCTGTGAACCATGTCATCTCTAGAATGCTGGGGATACAGTTGATGAACAACGAGAGCCACTCGCAACAGTGCACTGGCTTCGCCTTATCTGGATCTTGCAATTCCTCACCCTTATTACTAAGGGCATAGTTAGAGGGGGGCATCTGTCCCCGGGTGCAGAATCCAAGGGGCGCCAAACTGATGTTACAACATTTTAAAATTAAATGTTTTCCATCCTTGGCAAGCAGTAGGGGGCGCGAAATCTTCAGTTGTCCCTGGGCGCTGAAAACCGTAGCTATGACTCTGCTTATTACTTTGTACAGTGTCATTCTGGATGATTTAGCAGCTCTCTTCGTGGAATGTCACGATTTTCATTATTTTGTATTTCTTCTATTTTTTGGCAATGCACATAATAAAACGGACAGGCCATTAAATTTTCATCCTTCCTGAATCTTTTGCAGCAGACCGCATTCAAATCGGGTACATTTTAACGAAACTACAGTCCAGTGAAATAGGTCAGTTCTAAAACAATCACCCTGTATTTTAGCTGCAGACTCATAGATTAAATGGACACTGGCGACTTCTGCATTTGTGTGTAGCAATACATGCCTCTCGAAATACGTAATGGAAAGTGACGATTTATCCCAGGAGAAAACTTTTCTGTGCATTTAACAGCATCTTACGTACCTCAACAGGCCATTTCGGTCACCTCCATTACAAAATCTGATTTTTGTCGATCTGCCTTTACATTTTTGCCAGATATTATTAAATCATCCTCTATATGCAAGTTTTAAAAAAGCTGTGCTGTTTTACTGTTACTATAGTATCTTATCAGCAGAAAATGCATTTGACTAAACATTTTTATTTTATACTTTTACATATTGTTTTAAATTAAGTATCAAAAATACTTTTTACTTACAGCAAGTTAAATATTGTAAAACTTTCTTGGAGTTAATTTGATATCTAAACAGAAATTAATATTTTTCTGTTTTCTACAATATAGTGATATTTTTTTTTTTAACTCGAAACATGAACAACTAATATTAACTCTTTTGGTTTAAAATTTATTTGCTGTGTGTGTTTATAAACAGGAGATTAAAAATTTATTTTAAGAGTTCAAATAGGTTGCTGCGTAGTTGTTTGGATGATTATATTATTTGGGTAGGCAAAGAAATATATTTTTTGTCACGTATATTCAAAATTGTATATGTATTTTTTGTTTTTAAAAGGAACTTAAATATAATTAAATGTAGCATAGCTTATTTTGAATGAAATGTAGCATAGCTTATTTTGAATTTTAATTATAAATTTCATCACAAGAGGAATTAAAAGTTAATAAGTCATGATGTGAAAAATCATTCAGTATATATTTTTAACTTAAAATTTAAGCAAGCGCAATTACAGGTAGAAGTGGGCGGAATACCAGAATTTAATCATTGCTTGCACAGGTATACTCCTGCCACACTAACTGCAGTTCCAGACATTTTTGTTACACTTTCAGGTCACTACACAGGTAATCATATATATGCCAGCATAGCATTAGAACTATTGTCTCAGTGATGATGATATTGTAACAAAAGGTGTAATGCACATTTTTGGTAGCTGAATTTGAAGTCTACGTTTGTAATTGCAAAGGAAATTAAATGTAGATCCTTCTGGATCAAAACTCCTTCTTTTAATTGGACAACACTTTAGATAAGTTTTTTAAAGATGGAAGTTCTTTTTTCAGAGCTTTGAATCATCTTTAAGACTTATTATCTCGCATGAAACCATGCATAAAAAATTAGATAGATCAAATCGGATAGTGAGACTTGCCAGCTAATGTGCTAAAACCCTCCACTGTCTGACCCTCTCATCATTGGTACAAAAATTCTTTGAACTAGTTTCAGTTATGAGTTGTTTTGCCAGCTATGTATGCTGTTTGTATGTTTTACTTGCTGAGATGACCAACTGTGCGAATAATTATTCTAATTTCTCTAGTTAGTTTCCAGATTTAAAGAAAAGTTTAGAGTCGCATGATGTGCTGTAGTGAGTGTAATTCTCACCAAGTAACTTGAAGAGGAAACATGCAAAAATAGTGGCTTGTTAATGTGATAAACACAAAAATGAACTGCGACATTTCTTCCATTTGGGCGATATTGATAGAAATAACTGACATTTCTTCAGTTTGGACTATATCATGGAGGGACACACAACCTATACATTTGCAAGATTTTTGCTGTTTTATAATTTGTAAACTTTCTTATTAACTTTTAAATTATATTGCTATATAGTAGCCATTTACCCTGTTGGAAAGATTGTGCTGCACTTATATAATCCAAAATACAAAACATAATCAGAGAAAGAGTAGAAAGATATATATGGGTTAAAAGAACTGTATTCTTCTAGTGCAGAGGTTCTCAACAAGGAAAGAATTCTCCCGAATGCAGTTGGACTTTTATTTAGTTTAAGTTTGATTATAAAAGTTTACTATTATTCAAATTTTGATATTGTTCAACATTTTGTGTACTTTTTATTATTTAATTTATAAAACACATTTGAAAATAATCTAAATATAAAAATAAACATATATTTTTCAAGTTTTCAAAAGGAGATTAAATGATCTTCTAGCAATGGTAAAAAAGGCGCATAGGAAAAAAAAAAAAAAAAAAAAAAAAGAGAGAACCAATTGCTGTAGCCCATACAATGTTCCATTATATCCTGTACTTATGTGTGTATTCTCGAGAAAAGCTTAAACCTTTTGAGATTGTTATCTGTCTTTGATACATTTGTCATGGCTTAACTTTTGCCACAGTTAGAGAATCCTAAACTCTCCATAAAAAATATTTATTAAATATGTATATTTACTTTAATATTGTCTTTTTGATAAATTATATGAACATTGATTTATTTATATGCATTTAAGTAATATTTAAATGAAGTAAAATGTTTGAAAGTTTGGCTTTAATTATTCATTGGTATATCATTAGGCAGTAAAAAAGATTTATATATATCTGATTGTAACGAAATTTGTCCACCAAAAAATCTTCTTAATAAAGTTGGAGGGGGGGGAAACATGAAAGCAGTACTTTAAGTGCAGGTAGTAATCGCCACCGAAATCTGTGATTTTCTGCCAACATTTTTGTAGTTTTTCAGACTTGGTAGCTGCAAGTTCAAAAACTGATTAACCTCATTTCGGATGTCCTGTGCAGAATGGAAGGTAGTACCAGCAAGATGTAGTTGCAGGTGTGAAAAAAAGGTAGAAGTCTGAAGGAGTGATGTTGGGGCTATATGGTGGTTGTGGCAAAAGATCCCATTCGAATCATGCAGAGTCCAACCAGTGAATGCAGACACCTATAGTCTTGCATTATCTTTATGGAACATTACCTTTTTGCACCAGAACTCAGTTCGTGGTTTTCCCTTGGTAGCAGCGTCACCATGGACTAGTAGCTTGCTGTACACCTTACTGTCGCAGATTTTACCTTTTTCAAGATACTGTTTGTGGATGATTCCAGGGCGATTCCAGCAGATACAAAGCATGATCTAGTCAAATTACGCTTTGTAACACTACCGATGGCTTCCCAGGTGCAGACTAACTCTCTTTTTGACCTGTGTTGTTGAAATAAATCCACATGTGACAATGCGGTCCAGAATTTTGTCCTTGCTTTGATATTCGAGCAGATTAGTGCAGGCCCGAACAGGTCTGTCCTTATCTGCTGGAGTCAGCTCATGCAGCACCCAACGATTGAACTTGTGTGTCAAGTTTATCGGATGCATAGCATGACTAACGGACATGGCACTAATGTCTAACTCCTTGGCAAGCTCTCAAGTGGTTGCATACTGATCTTCCACAAGTTCTTGCAGGTGGGCCTCATCAACATCAGTAGGCCAGCCAGAGCGCTGTGCTTCTAGAATGTCATAGTCCTTGTTTTTGAACTTTCGGTACCAAACCTTCACAGTATCGTATGATACAACATTAGCTCCTAAAGCTCTACACATTATTTGGGTGACATTCTGTAGCTGACTTTTTACAACAGAACTGAAAGTAAATGATGGTTTTAATTTGGTAGTGTGATAGTTCCATTTTCAACTCCTTGTACATAATGATAATGATATTTTTTTTACAAATTTTGCTAAATGGTATTCTAAACAAATCTTTCTTTCAAATGTCAAAAATCGTTTGATAAAATCGGATTAAACATGCTAACATGAACTGTTTGCACAGACAATAATTGTGGTGGTTAGGAACTTTTGTTAAAACCTGATATATATAATTTTATTAAATTATAAAGGAAGAAAGATAAAAAAAAAAGGAAAAAGTTTTAAAAAGAACCAAAAAGCAACTTTAAAATCAAGTGCGAAAGCTGCTTAAGATTTCATTTAACAAAAGTTTAAAATTTAAAATTAGAAGTAAAATTAGAAGAAAAAAACTGTACTATTCTGGAAAATTTTTTAAAACTAATTTTAAAAGAAAACAGAGTACAAAATTTTAGAACAAAGTAAAATGCAAATTGAAATGTGAAGATATATTGAAAAGTTTTGAAAATCTAATTCTAATGTTTTAAATTATAAACCCTTGCCAAATTGATTTGAAATATCAAAATCGGATTAAACATGCTAACATGAACTGTTTGCACAGACAATAATTGTGGTGGTTAGGAACTTTTGTTAAAACCTGATATATATAATTTTATTAAATTATAAAGGAAGAAAGATAAAAAAAAAAAGGAAAAAGTTTTAAAAAGAACCAAAAAGCAACTTTAAAATCAAGTGCGAAAGCTGCTTAAGATTTCATTTAACAAAAGTTTAAAATTTAAAATTAGAAGTAAAATTAGAAGAAAAAAATTGTACTATTCTGGAAAATTTTTTAAAACTAATTTTAAAAGAAAACAGAGTACAAAATTTTAGAACAAAGTAAAATGCAAATTGAAATGTGAAGATATATTGAAAAGTTTTGAAAAATCTAATTCTAATGTTTTAAAATTCTAATGTTATGTAGTGGTGGCCAAAATTGTGGACACTTTTGGAAATTTTTGTTTTTTAACTTTGTATGCTCATAGAAAACATTACGTTTCATAAAATGCAAACTTGTATATATCATTTTAAAGAGAATTTATTACTGAATTCAATACAAAACACAAAATTCAATTATTTGCAATATAAAAAAATTAAACGATAATAGTTAACGATATACATTAGATAGTGATGATTGCAGTGAGTTATCAGTACTTAGTAGGGTACCCTTTATTTTTGATTACAGCTTCACATCGACGTTTCATTGAGCTGACAAGAGTTTTAAGCTCTTCTTTCGTTATTACATGATGCAAGGAAACAATTATAGCCTCAATTAGTTCCCTTTTATTTGATGGGCGCCTCATTCGGACAAGAGTTTTCAAACGGTGCCACAAATTTTCGATAGGATTGAGGTCAGGACTGTTTCCTGGCCATGACAACAATTTAATGCTCTTTGTACGAAACCACTCTTTCGATATTTTGGCCGTGTGGCGAGGACCAGAATCCTGCTGAGAAATAAACGAAGCATTGTTGGGAAAGAAATCTCTGATGGAAGGTAGAAGTTTCGGTTCTAGAATAGTGTCAATGTATTTTCTGGCATTCAGTGTCCCATCGATGACATGAAGGCGACCAATACCATCTGCTGACATGCATGACCAAATCATAACACTAACTGGGTTCTTCACAGTTGCTTGAATGCAGTCAGGATGTAGCTCGTCTCCTATTCTACGTCTTGCATATTTTCGCCCATCACTACCGAATAATGATTGATATCTTAGTTTCATCACTCCATATAACTTGTGACCACTGATCATCTGTCCAATTAATGTGATCTTTTGCCCACTGTAGTCTTTTTTTTTTTTCGTTTCTGAAAATTAAGATAGGATTTTTTTTCATGGAATTCTACCTCTCAGTCCAAGATCTGTTAATCTTCTCCTGATTGTTCTTGAGCTGACAGAAAAACCAGCATCATTCAGCTCACTTCTGATGGCTGCTGATGACATTTTTCTATTTTGGAGACAGTCTTTTTATTCTTCTGTCATCAATAGATGTGGTGCACCTTTTTGGGCCTTTTCCTTCTTTGTTTTTTTATTGAATTTGTCTCCTGATATCGTAAACAAAATTTTCGGACTCCAGATGTAGTCACTGAACCACCGACCTGTCTTGCAATTTCAGCATAGGAAAGACCACTTTCTCATAGCACAATAATATTACATCTCTTTCTAGGTGTCCAATCTACTCTTGTATTTGATGTAATTGCTTCTTGACTAAATATTAAAAATTTTTACAAAAATTCCTACTTGTAATTGCACTGTATAAGAAACAGGTCCTCCTTCTACAGAACAAAGCAAAATAATGAATTCTTTCAAGTGTAAACATGATGTCGGCTTCTACTGGCAGTTACTAACATTTGATTGGTTCTTAGAACAAGAACAGTGATTGGCCAAGAAAGCTAGACATTACAAACCACTTCATAACTGTGTTTTTTATTCATATTAAAGTACATATAACTTTTTTTGTATTGAAAATAATTGAATTTGTGTTATGTATTCAATTCAGTAATAAATTCTCTTTAAAATGATATATACAAGTTTGCATTTTGAGAAACGTAACATTTTCTGTAAGCATACAAATTTCAAAAACATAAAAATTTCCAAGTGTGTCCACAATTTTGGCCACCACTGTATATAAACTAATTTTAGCATGTTGCATACACTGAATATCTGTGTGTAATTTCTTGCACAGGGCATACAGTTGTGATGGAATTTCGAGATGGTCTGAATTCAAAAGCAAATCTTCTTAGAAAAATTCACTGTCAAAATGCTGTCTGTGATAATATTTCTGAAATAATAACTTCTGCATCCAGTGGACTTTATATCAGATTTCGTGGTTACTTGAACTTTCAGTCTGTTGTGAGGATGTCATACAGCTCCTATTTGCAAGGAAGTAAGTTTCTGGTTTCTTATTGCATTTTAATTTATATGTGCATTAAATTTGCTGTTTCTTAATATACAAAAAATTCAAAATAAAAATTGACTGCCAAGTCTTTTGTTTTTTAGTTTTAGCCGTTGCTAAAAATATTTTCCAGCTATAAATGACATTTATTAAATTAATGACTTGAATTGTGCAAATTCCATTCTCCCACTGGTTTTCAGCGCAATTTCCGTACTAAATTTTGTTTGACTTCACTTGTCATAATTTACTCTAGACATTTCTGGAATTTTTAATGAATTTTCAGCTAATGTTTAAACAATCAATATTTATTAGTCAATTAGTGTAATGTACAATATTTAATTCTGTTTCCATTAATAAATTATGCATTATTAAACTTATTCATACATTAATTAGCGTACAACTACACAACTAACATTAGCTACTAATTATATGTATACCTTGCACAAAAGAACAGGACAGTTCTATTACTCCAATATTACTGAGCTGATCGACGAAATTTAACTTCCGGTTTTCATCTATTGAAAGTGCAACTTACAGTATATGTATTAGATTTATATATATAGCATTGTTCAAACATAGGTATTGTGACACAAAATCAGACTTTTTCTGAAATGGCATACCTATTTTTTCCATATTTCGAGTCTACAACTCAAATTCTGCCCAAACATTAAATTTTGTAAAATTTGGTGAGAAACTTACTGTGCAATTTAAAAATTTATCTTACAGCACTTTTTTCAATTTGTGCCAAGAATAATTTCGCTTGCCGAAATTCTTAAATTTCTAGCAACCTATTTTTCTTTCCCTTTTCTCACTGTCTACAAGGGAAAAGAAATGTGCGTCGTTCATACTTTCAAATAATTTTAACAAAATGAATAAATCATATTTGACATTATTATAGTTTACAACAAACATGCCAAATTTCAAAATGCGTTAATATATAAATTCTCAAGTATGTTCGAAAATTTTGAATAAAAAAACTAAAATTTTTGCAGGTATGCCTAGAAATATATCTACTTCAAGAAGACTGTAAAAATTTGATAGGTTGTAATACAAATTTCTTTTTAATTTATAAAAATTACTAAAAGTATAAATTAAAAAAAAAAAAAAAAAAAATCGGAAATAGCCACAAATTGAATAGGCTTGAACCTAAATTTCAGATTGTGGGCGAAAAAAAAAAAAAAAGGAATCATGTAAGTTTAATAAAAAAACATACTAATGAATATATACCAATAAACATTGAGAAGCTAATATTTTGAGACATAATGTTTTAAAAACATTAAAAGTTTAATAAAAAACATACTAATGAATATATACCAATAAACATTGAGAAGCCAATATTTTGAGACATAATGTGTTAAAAACTACTCCCGTGACTTTTCCAAAACTTGGCACTTTGTGATAATTTGAATTGTAAAATCAAAATGTGAAAAAAATAGGTATGTCATTTCAGAAAGTCAGGTTTTGTGTTTGATTAGCTATGTTAGAACAATCTATGTATAAATCTAATGTGTATTGTAAGTCTCACTTCGAGATATGAAAATTGCAAATTTAATTTAGTCTATCGATTCAGTAGAACGAGAGATATAGAAGTGGGGCACTTCTTATTTTGTTGGTTAGAGTTGACTTTAGGGTACCCCTTGTATTATCGTGAAGTTGTTTCATTTATTGCTAAGTTGTTGTTTCGTTTATCGCCAGGTTGTTGTATCATTTATGGTAACCTGAGTAGTTGAATGTTATAGAAACCCTACTATGATGTAATCGTTTGCATTATTTCGGGAAATTTTGAATCATGGGATGTTTTGCAAGGGCTTTTGTGGTGTGTGTTGCTTAGGAAGTACACTGCTTGTTTCATTGTTTAGACAGTAGAATGGCTGAATGTAGTAAGGTTAATTTGAAGTTTCTGTACGATTTGGAACGAAAGGGAAAAGTGTGTTAATTGACTGGTGTGTAAATGAAGGTTTTACTTAGTAGCCATTTTCTGACAGTACAAAACTACGTAGTATATTTTTGTGAATTTATGTGGCAACGTCGATATATGGATTCTAGACTAGAAGAGAAACACACTAATGTGACAATCAAAATCTTAAAAACAACCTTGTATTTAACGTAGGTATAATGACGCTAAATAGAAGGTTGTTTTTACAATTTCGATATGGATTCTAGTTCAGATAGTTTTATGAAGTTTTTGGATGCTGTTAAGGGAATTTTGTGTCCCACAGACTGAAGACGAATGAATTTCTAAATAAGGTAAGTGGATATTTGCTTTGTTTAGTGCTTAAATGCATAATAGGTTTTTCCTTTTTTATGTTATTTTATTGTTTAGTTTAAAATGTAGTTTATTGAGATTATGAATTTTTTGTTTGCTTCTGCTGTAGAATTGTGTGCTCCTTTGACTTTTTAAGTGAAAATATATTGATATGTACATGGACAAACTCAAGGGAGTGCGTAAAGCATAGTTTGTGCAATTCTGTGATTTTTTTTAAATGAAAATAGGTCGATGTGCACATGGATAAAGTCAAGGGATTCCACAATGCCATTTTTGTGCAAGTCTGGGATTTTTTGAAAGTGAAAATAGGTTGATGTGTACATGGATACCGAGTTTGTGCAATTCTCTGTCTTGTTATTTTGGCTTTGTGTAGCGGCGATTTTTTGCCGCTATGCAAGCCAAAATAACCTATGTCCTAAATAATGCAATAATAATAATGCACTAAATAATGCAGTAAACAGGAGATCAACCTTTTGATGATCAATCTTTTTTTAATTTTTGCAATCATTGTTTGGCAGTTACTTATGAAATTTGGAAAAATAAAAGTTTTGAAGAAAAATGAATACATCTTTTTACTCATTTCGGAGAAAAAAGATATCGTTTCCCAGTCTTGTTCAAATAATAAATTACATTTTCAGCATTTTAAGCACATTGGCACCATTTAAGAGAACTATCCGTAATAAATATTACATGGCTTGAAGAATGAAGTAGATGGCTGAATTAATTGTATAAGGTATACTAAGCTGCTAAGTTAATAGTGAAGTGCAGCAAATTTTCTGATGCCATTAAAAAAATAATTTTTGGAAAAGTTCACACTAGTGATAAAAAACTAACTTCTTAATAAGGTATGCTCATTTGAGTTATTAAAAATTTTTAATAACTCAAACCTCACTGTGGTTTTTCTATTGACAAGTTCTTTATTTAGCTATTTCAGCCATTGATACTTATCTTAATAGTTTTTATTTTCTGTTCAGAGTATTTTTTCAAAATTATTCTGGTTGTGAGTGAAAAAGATTCAAGTCTAATCATGCCAGTTCATTCAGATTTTTATCACTGACAATTTATTCAATTCTGTTTCTTGTCATTTCAGTAACATGCAGATCATTATGCTTTACAGCTGGAAATCCTATGATGAATGAGTGACCCATTTTTACAGTATTTATAACTTATCTTGGAGATGTGATTTTATCTTGGAGATTTGTTGTGTCATTGGGAGCTGAATGAATATTTTACATGCTAAATGCTTCATAAGGTTTACTAGATATCCTCATCATGAGTGATGACAGCTTTTGTAACTATCTGATATTGAACCTAGAATAAAATGTTGTAGGGATGGATACTCTGTAAAACAAACAGAACATTTATTAAACTAAACATTAAGGAAATGTAGCGTAAAACAAAAAAGAAGTGGTTCGCATCCCCATGCAACCTTCAGCAAAGCCAGCACTGGGCTTTTCTGGAACAGCTGAAAAAAGTTATTCCAGCATAGCTTTTTACTTGTATAATACTAAAAAGTAGTTTGGAATTAGCTGCAAACTGATACATGTATTGCTAATTCTCAGAAGTCAAACAACAAAAATCAGCTTTATATTTTCAAGATTTTCACAGGACTAGTTTCGATGGTTTTACCAAACCACCGTCCTCAGCTGCAAAACCGGAAATGAACAAGATAGGAAATGATTAGATAAGAAAGCCTGGACAAGAATAAGCAAGTGGCACCATCTGTTGGTGAAACCAGAACTAAAACATAATTTCTTTAAAGGCCGAAGGCAAAGGTGGATTGGAATTAGGATTGTTAACTAGAACAGAAAGATTTTTTTGAATGTGAAATGCCTCTAGAAAATCCAGTTCTCTAATGGAAGATGTTTTTTGAATAATTTTGGCAGCAGAAAAATTGAAAGTGTGATTTTCGGACCAACATGTATTGCTCTCAGGCGGCACTCCACTACCAGAATAATTTTCATGCGGCACTTCGCTATTGGAATAATTTTCATGCAGCACTTCCCTGCTGATTTTGGTTTATTTGCAAGTGTTTGGCAAAGTCCTGAATTTCTGTAAGCCCAAACTGCTTTTTTTGACAAATACATCTTGATCATGTGCTTCATATACAGTGTGACATTTAACTATACATTAAACATTTTTTTTTCTATGTTTAAAGATTGTCTTAAGCAAGCAACTGTCTGCTTTTATAATATGTTTCAATATTTTTCATTTTAGATTGCTCCGATAAAGAAATACCCTGCATGGGTAATAGATGCCTTATTTCAGATTTGTATTGTGATGGGATTCAAAACTGCCCTGATGGCAGTGATGAAGAAAATTGTCTAGGTATGCTGTTTTAAGATTTATTTTTGGATTTATTATAGATAACAAATTAAGTTCTATGAATTGATAAATGAATCTCTTGTTTCAGACTTTTAAAATAAGGAAAACTTGCCAACAAACCTTTTTAACACTTTTGCCATGAGAGTCAGAGATGTGTTGTCAGGGGCGTAGCTAGAGTGGGAAAGAGGGGGCATCTGTCCCCGGGCGCAGAATCCGAGGGGCGCCAAACTCATGTTACGAAATTTTAGAATTAAATGTTTTCCATCCTTGGCAAGCAGTAGGGGGTGTGAAATCTTCAGTTGTCCCTGGGCGCTGAAAACCCTAGCTACGAATCTGCATGTTGTTGCTTATGCTCACTTGCCCAAGACCATAAAATTTCTCGCCACAAGGAATGCTAAATTATGCCTGTTATTGGCAACAGCCTTGAGCATCTAACAGGTCACAGAGCGATTTGGCTCAGTCAGTCACACAGACGTGCCAGCATAAAGCATGCTCACTTTCTGGCTGGCATGTCAGTGTGACAAAGCATTTTCTTGTTTACCCCTACCTATTGTGCATTTGTGTCAGAGTTTGGAAACATTTTATGGACTAAAATATTTTGCACTAGATGCCATTATATGAGATTTGACTTTCTATCCTTATCTTCTACTTGAAATGAGACAAAGATAACTTGCATGCACTTACATTTTGATTATATAAACATGGGCATGTTCTCAACTTGCAGACTTCCTGATAACTCTCAATCACACTTTATATTTGTTAATAAAAATGTTATGGGAGTGGAGATATTTTGCGGGGGGGGGCAGGAGCATTGTTGCGTGTTTCAAACATGTAAATGGTATTATTCATTTATATATATTGTGGGAGACCTTTTTTTTCTTGTAATTTTTATTCTGTAAAAAAAAAAAAAAAAAAAAAACACCTTACATGAGCATTTGTGCTTTTCATCCTGAAAGGGTTATTGTATGTTACATTGTATACTCAAATTCCTGTTTTATGTAATGGCATCTCAGTTATTAAAAAAGGAATGTGTTTAAATGTTCTTTGTTGCATGGAAAGGTAGTGGCAGATAGGGCCTGTAGATTTTTAACACGCATGATCCTGAATCTGAGAATGTACTTCTTAAAGCCTGAATTTTGAGCTACAAATATTTTGATTTAATTTATTTTAACAAAGTTTTGATAAACAAATTCAGCTGTTTAAAAGTAATGTGATGCCACTGTCCAGAATAATTAAAAAAAACTTTTATCATCCAGTGTCAGTGTGTTATCAGCAAAGCAAAAGGTCTTTCAAATTTAATCCAACTCAGTGATTTCAAAATCAGTGTGTTACCCTGAGGCGAATATAATACTTATATTTCTTACACCAGGTGTTTCCCATTTGGCAAAGAGTAAGGTCTTTCACATTTAATTGCTTAATTTGTTGACTTAATAAACTGAGCTATTTAAAAAGTAGTAAACATAGTTCTTAATGTGATTTATTCTTTTAATAATGTATCTGATTGATTTAAATTAAAAAGGTATTATATATCTAATTAAAAATTTTTTTTAACATGTGTAGTTTTTCTTTTTCCTTTTTTTAAAGACTTTTCCATTGCCATATAGTATGCAGTTGATTCAGAATTCTTTAAAAAAAATTTAATTTTTAATGGCAAATCCTTCTTTGAAGTGTTTTGCTATAATCTGAAGAGTTTGGATGTAATTATGATGCCTAGCTGCACTCATGCTAGGCATCATAATTACCTTCATGCAGCAATTCTTCAGTATTCATTGTATACAGAAAGTATACAGCAAAAAAAGTCTGTTTTTGTAATACTAGAGAGATTACTAACACCTTATTAAAAAGTGCTGCTGTTTATCTCTGGAAAGAAATTAGTTATCTTTCAATTTCAATAATTTTCTTTAAATATAAAAATAAAATTATACAATTTTAACAAATAAAACTGGTAAAACTCTATAAATACTTATTACATCATACTAATGCTTTAATAGCTATATTATATTTGTACTTAAGAGTTATGGAAGAAATGACAGAATATTTTTCTAAAGAAGGAATAAATCAAGAAAACATTTTAAAGAATAGAAAGGCATCTTGAATCCTGCCTTTACAGTATTTTTAAAAAATTCATGAGTTAGAAAATCAAAGTTATACATGAGATTCATGAGAGTTTTTGAAAAATCATGAGAGATTTGAAAATCAAAGTTATACAGAAAGGATTAAAAAGAGCTTGACTTTCTGTTGAAGTTTATTGAGTAAATTTTTTTGGAGTCTAACAATATGATTTTTGTTATTTACAATATGAAATTATTGTATATTCTTGGCTTGTACATCATAGTTTTTTTAAATACAGTCAAAAGTCGTTAATTCGGATACCCATAATCCAGAATGATCTATAATCCGGACTTCAAAGCTATAAACTTTCTGTGCATGCATCGCATTGACGCACGGCTGCGAATATGCGTTTGTGCGTGCGCAAAATACGTTTATGAATGTGCGTTTAATGTATAAAGGATGGTATAAGCTAAGCTAAAATTATCTAATTCAGTTAATGTTGCAGATTGCATTGTTCCTTAATCTTCGAATTGGATTCGGCTTATTATTTTTTGCAGACTGTTAGAGCAATTTTATAAAAGTAAGCTTGAACTTTCGATTATGTCAAATAGAATTTCTAATATATATTTACTAATATGTAAAGGATCTACAAAGCGAAAGTATGTTTCGAAGTCCATTAAACAGAAAGTGGAATTGCTGCAAAAGTGGATAAAGGCATATCCTTTGTTTATCTAAACTTTAACGTTTGTTTATCTAAACTTTAATGTTTGTTTATCTAAACTTTGTATATCTTTAACTCCGCAGCGCACAATGAATTGGAAGTTGATCTGTCAACACTATCCTTATCTTCAGGGCAGATGTTTTTATTTTATTTGGCTTATAATTCCTTATTAAATGTAGTATTTCATCTCGATGTACTCCATCTTTGATATGATTTAAATCAAATTCCTCGTCATTATAATTCGCTTCCGATAGCAAAGAAAGTGAGAGAGGTTATTGAAAACGAAAAATTTTCGATTGACAAATTAGTCGGTATTCTTGACACAGCAATTATAGGACTTGAACAGCAGAACTTTGTAAATGAACAAGAAATTATGTCTGTTTGTAGAATTAAAGAAAATGTGTTATCACATAAAAAACGAAGCAACTTAAACAACTTACATTGAAAGAAATGTTAAATAAAGTAAACAAATAAATATTAAGCTTTTTTTAAATTTTGATACCCTTTAGATCATAATTGTTCTTTTTTCATAAATTACGGTTTCATATTTTTAATTTTATAATTTCTGCATGCCACCTTATCAGATTTAAACTGATGATCTATAATCCGGAAAAATTGTTAATCCGGAATTTCCGAAGTCAAGACGAGTCCTGATTAACGACTTTTGACTGTAGTTATCTTAGAAGTAATTAAATTGAGAAGTAATTAAATTGATATTGTAATATGCACTGAAATAATCTATTTCAAAAGCATGTTCTAAAACCGAAGTATTTATAGGTCTAGGAACACCTCCAGTTGTCTCTCCACGGCCATCGTCTTCTCCTAGAAGATTATATAGCTCAAACACTGCTCATACATTTGCAGTTCTTCTGTTTATTGGAATCATTGGCCTCATTTTTGCTGTTCTGGTTGTCTTTTTAATATTCTATCGACATTATAAAATGAAGTTAATATCAGCTGATACTCCCAGGCCTCCTCCATCTATCCACAGTCAAGGAACAGGTTTGTTCAGTACTTCTTTTGACTTATATGCATTTAGTTTGGTTGGTGTATCTTGATTATGTTGTTAAGTAGCTTATATTGGTAATTTTAAGCATGAAATTTGTTATAAGCAAGTGGGGGGATAATAAAATAATAATCAGCATAAAGTTTTTTTTTTTCTAATTTTAATTTACTGTCACTGTAGATTTGTTATTCACAGTATTGCAGCAAGTACATAATAAGAATTCATTCATAAATTCACAATTTAATTTTTCTAAAGTTACTAATGTGGCTATACTGCAAAGGAAAAAGACTGAAAAGAGATTATACACTGCACACACACACATGCACAACAACAAAAAAAAAAAAAAAAAAAAAAAGAGGAGGTGGTGGGACACTTCTATATCTCCTGTTCTACTGGGCCAATTGACGAAATTCAAATTGCGTTTTTCACATCTTGAAAGTGCGGCTTAGGATATGTATTATTAGATTTATAGATAGCATCATTCTAACCTAGGTGTTTTAACACAAAATCTGACTTTTTCTGATATGACATGCCAATCTTTTTCCATATTTTGACTCTACTACTCAAATTATGCTTCAGTATTAAATTTTGTAAAATTTGGTGTGAAATTTACGGAGAAATAAAAAAATTTATCTTGCCATATTTTTCTGTTTTTGCCAAGAATAATTTACTTGGTGAACTTCTTAATTTATAGCAACCTAGTTTCCTTTTCTTTTTTTCATTGTAGACGAGCAGAAAAAAAGTCATCGTTCATACTTTTAAATAATTTTAACAAAGTGCGTATTATCGTTTGGCATTATTTATCATTAAAAAAAAAAAAATGCCAAATTTCAAAATGCTCCAATATGTAAATTCACGTATATCTTAGAAAATTTTAAATAATAACTCTAATTTTTTGCAGGTGTGCATAGAAATGCATCTACTTTAAAATGGTAAAAATTTATAGATTATAATTCAAAAATTTTTTTAAAATTATTTTAAAATAAAAATTTTTAAAATAAAAAAGGGGCGAAGTCTATTTGGAATGGACCTAAATTTTGAAATATGAAAGGAAGAATCAAATAAGTTCAATAAAAAAGAGATATTAATAAATATATATCAAATTCAATTAACTATGAGAAGCTAAAATATTGAGAGCTAATTTTTTAAAAACTACTTGCTATTTTTACAAAACGTGGCAATTTGGCATAATTTGAGTCAAAATATGGAAAAAAAATGAGCATGTCATTTCAGAAAAAGTCCGATTTTTGCGTCAAAATACCTATATTAGAACTACGCTATATATAAATCTAATATACACTCATGGACAAAAAAAATTAGCGCACCATGAAGGAGTCTTCAAAATGAAGTGAAATTTACATACGTAAAGACTACTTTTATATAAGTAAATGGTAAGAAAATCAAAGAAAAAGGATAATTTATTTCAGAGAAAAAGGCAAAAGAACGGAGGAGTTAATACTCCGTTGGACCCCCTCTAGCGTGAATGCACAATACGATATGATCGGGCATCGAGTTGTACAAGTTTTGTATGATGTCTTGAGACATTTCCTTCCATATTTGCTGTAACCTTGCCTCTAGTTAGTTCAAACTCGTGGGAGTGCCCAATTCGTCATCCGAAATGATCCCAGATATGCTCGATTGGAGACAAATCTGGGGATCGAGCAGGCCAAGGAAGGGTAGTAAAAGTGCATAGACAGTCTTGTGACACCCTTGCCATATGAGGCCGAGCATTTTCTTGTTGAAAAATGGCTCCTGGGAACCGTTGCATGAATGGCAATACATGTGGTTGCAGGATTTCATGAACATACCGCTGGGCTGTCATGGTGCCCCGGAACAATACTAGTGGTTACCGTGTATTGTAGGCAGTGGTACCCCATACCATCACACCAGCTGTGGGAGCGATGTGTCACTGTACAGCAAAGGCAGGATTGAGGCGTTCACCATGGGCTCTCTACACACGAACATGATTGTCATCACTGCCGAGATTGAATCTGGATTCATCGCTAAAGACAACCTGGTTCCATTCCGCTGCAGTCCAGTTTCCTTGTGTTCGACACCACTCCATACGGAGGTGTCGATGGGTGGGCATCAAGGGCAGCACATGTAATGGGCGCCGTGATACTAACTGTCCTTCAGCCAGGTCCCTTCGTATGGTTCGAGAAGACACAAGAGCCCATAGTGAAGGTGCTACCTGTGCCTGGATGGCGGCCAATGAAGCAGTTGGCTGTACGTGTGTGCATTTCTTAGGATGTGGCGGTCTTCTCGACGACTGGTCTGCCGAGGGCATCCTGAGCCTGGTCTTCATGTACATGACATCTCTCGGGTCCACTGGTCCCAACACCTCTTCACAGCACAATCAGAGCGACCTAATTGATGAGCTACTTGCCTAGCTGACACCCAGCTTCCATCATCTCGACGATTCTCCCCCTCTCGAACTGCGACAACTGCTCATATTGTCTTCGAACACGCTGTAATGGCATGTCTACCTCAGCTTTTCCTTTGTAAATGATTCAGCACACTCAAACAAGCTTTTGTTACCTGTTTTATACTCCACAGACTACGACGTTCAACGCCCTCTACCGGCTATACGTAATGCGCAATCATGCTGCATTTCTAATCATTTGCATATCACCCCAACATGTACCTTCATTGCAAATTTCGTTACGATCCCGCAATTATTTCTTGGTGCGCTAATTTTTTTGTCCATGAGTTTATATCCTAAGTCGTGCTTTCGAGACATGAAAAACGCAATTTGAATTTCGTCAATCGGCCCTGTGGAATAGGAGATGTAGAACTGTGCCATTTTTTTGGAGTGTACATTAATATTTGATTTTTAACTTTTAATATCTGTAAAATGAATAAACACTTAACTAAAAATTGTTATTTGTCATTAAGTTCAGTTCAGAAACATCATGATAAAGTGATCCAGGTTTTTGTAGTCTTGCTTTCCTCTTTTATTAGTTGTGAGAGAACTCCTGTGCAGTTGCAGTAAAATAAGAACTTCCTTTTTCTGGTGGTGGCAGTTTTTTTACTGTCTTGATAGCTGAACATTTTCATCTTGTAGGAATCAAACCATTGATCTTGAACTGAACACGAGACAGAATGCTCACTTTATAGGAACATCTTTCAACCTTGCATTGTAGAATTTTATGTGTGGATGAGAAATTGATTACACAATCCCTTTGTCCAGTAATAGCTTTTATGATAAATTTTTTTTTTGTTTATTCCATTTGAGTCTCTATGCATAGTTGCTTGTTTATTACTTACATAATTTCATTAATATAATTTTTTCCAATTACTTTGACTATGGGTTGGTGGCTTTAATTTGAAAAGAAATACTAATAATGCTGATGCCTCTTTTTTAAATCAACTGCTTTTTCTAATGTAATGTTACCATCTGGAACTTCAGAAAAAATATTATCCAAATTATTTACTCCTCTATTGTGCATTTCATGGAGGATTTATGATGTATATTAAAACACTTCTTAAAAATTGCATAAAAGCATTTACCAGCATTCCAATTTTTTGCATAGGACTAAATTGTTTCTTCTCCTGGTAGTAGCCAGTTATCACATTACAATTCTTGTCGTAATGTTAGTGAAGTGTCTCATTTACGCCGCTCCGTGTCTGCGAGTGCAATCCAGAGTTGTAACTCGAGAAATAAACAATCTCATTGTTAGGTGACATGTGCACCATGTTATTTTCATTTTTGCGATAAATGCCTATCGACGTGATGTTCACGTCGCTCGCGGTTTGAGACAAAAGCATCTCAACGTGCATCACACGTCTTTTCAGCTCAAGTGGGTAAAAACACTTTATAAAAAGGCACTTAATCCTAACAGTTATAAATAATATAGTTTTGCACTCAGCATGGGAAAAGTATTTGAAAGGATAGTATATTGAAAATATAATGAACAATATATAAAAAATCCTTTTTTCTAAGAAACATTTAATTTGTATTCACTAAACTAATTCTGAGTTGTTGAGCACATTAACTAAGCCTTCACTGTGAAATTACAAGCAAACTATTTCATCAGTATGAAAAATTCGTTTAAATTATAACATAATTCTATTTTTTACAAGATGGCCAATTTGGATGTCCTTATAAAAAAATCGTTAAAGGGTACCGATTTGCCATAAAAATAAGAAGCGTTGCTCTACCTGCAAACAAATTAATGCAGGGATATTTTAGGGCTTGATAATTGAACTAACTATTGTTAATGTCATTATAAAAACCTTCTTATTTCTGTTAATATCAATTTTGTCAAAATATGTGAATGACATTGTGATCCTTATTAACTGTACGCCATGTGGAGTGCAAAGAGAACTAGCTATTGGACTTCTTAATAACAACTGATGTAAAATTTTTAGGAGTGATTGAAAACAAATTGTGACATTTTGCAATTACCCGCAACTCCCAGAGTAGGTGATATCTGCATCTGCAATATGTAAAGCCATAGATTGACAGATTTTCTGTGATCAGACATTCCAGTGATTAATGAGTACTGTCATGTTTCTTTTGCAATTATGTACATATGCTGGGGAATTTGTTTCACTTTATATTCTGTTCACTGCCTGTCTTGATTATCGTAATTTTCCAAATTTTGTTTTGTATTTTAGAGAAACTGCTGCTAAAAATTGTTATTCTGATAGAGCTGTTCTCTTACAAAATGCTTGTCCGTGTACATTGGAATCATGTTGTCCATTGGATATTTCTATTGTAAATCTTTCATTAATAGTTGTACACTACAAAGTCCGTAATCTGGATGTCCATTATCCGGAATGATCTATAATCCAGACCTCAAAGCCACAAACTTTACGCATGCACATCAAGAATGAGCATATATTTTGCATGCTTTACGCATGCACGCGTTGAAAGAAATTTTTAATAAAGTAAACAAATAAATATTAAGCTTTTTTTTTTTTGTAAAATTTGATACCCTTTAGATCATAATTGTTCTTTATTTCATAAATTACGGTTTCATATTTTTAATTGTAAAATTTCTGCATGCCATCTTGCCAGATTTAAATTGATGATCTATAATCCAAAAAAAACCCCCTAATCTGGAATCGCCGAAGTCCCGACGAGTCCGGATTACAGACTTTGTACTGTAATACAGATTTTATTAATCGTAAAGGTATGGGAAGAAGTGTGTGGGACACCAGAATGTCACCACGTTATAATGTTATACGAACTGCTAATTGTGCAGTTCCACCCCAATTTTGGGAAAGAATTGCTGAAATCCTCTTCTACTATCAGAGGACATTTCGATCTCTGTGTATTTTGAGTGCCTTTGAGGTCCGGATTATAGATCATTCCGGATTATGGGTGTCCGAATTAACGACTTTTGACTGTATTTTTATTCAGATTTAATTTCTTGCTGATTATAGATAGATGCTAATTGATGCTTTATTAAAATTTATATATGAAACTAATTCATGATTTGCATATAGGAAATGCAGCATAATTTTATTAATTTTGAAAAATTTATTTTTTGTTAGTTTTAAAAATACATTCTGTGAGAAATATTCTTCATTTAAAAATATTTTGCCATTGATTTCAAAGCATATCAATGCCAAAATATTTGATATAGTGCTATTTTCCCCAAAATTTGTATTTTTTTATTACTTTACCTGTTTTTTCCATTATTCTATTTTTTATCATATTCTTAATGTAATCAAAATTGTTATTGGACATGGAGAGTTTTTGTCAAAATGCAGAAACAGAATTTATATTTTGCTACTATATTTTGTGCATTCATTTTTACCTCTAATGATCAAACAGTATTTGCACAAACTTAAATTTAATCTTTTTCATTGCGTTTTCTTTTTTTCTGCAATTTTTTAAAAGTTTTGATCTCTTATTTCTTGCAATCCTTTTAGTGTAATTTAAACGAAATAAAGAATTGAGTAGTATTTGTTTAAAATACTTAAAATTTAAATATTTCACCGTAATTTGAAGTCTTCATTGCAGCTTTTATGAAAATTTTAATTCTGAATTTATTGTTTTTTAGATATAACTCCAGGATTATATTCTTTGGATGCACTTAATTGTGATCATCCACCTTCATATGAAGATTATATCAAAGCCTCTGAAAATTATCCACCTTTATTATATTCAAGAGCCAAGCAACATTTCAGGAACTGTACCACTACTTTTTCTAATTCTAGTTTGAAAGACTATGCCATTTCCTTTGCCATTACTGAGGACTTAAAATCATGTGATAATATATTGCCAGATAAATGCTTATTTTGCTATGGTTTTTCTGAAATAGAAATTGCCAGTACTTCATTGAATGGGAGAAACATTTATGGAGATAATCTTCCATACTTATTAGAACCAAGCTGTTCCTTTAATAGGAGGAGTGTCAAATGTGCTGCTAATAATTTTACACCCATGAAACTAAGTTCTAAAAGGGCAAAGTCTTTAGATTCAAATTTAAATGAAATAGAGCATCAGAATGCTTGCCATCTTTACTTACCTGTATTTCATCCTACTTGTCCTCATATTCCCAACCATTTGTCCCACACTCGTATTTGGTCTTTGCCTAGACATTTAAGAATAAATACTTCATATTCAAAAGATACTGACATTAAGTTTGAAAGCTGCGTAAAGAATACAATACATTTATCTAAAGATGTTGAATATTTCGATGGTAAACATCGCCGCTTTACTTGGTCTGTTGCTTCAGATAGAGCTTCAATTAATTCCGACATCTGGGCTTTGGTAAAAGCTCGATGTACTAGTGATCCAAACCATAGAGTTAGCTGCAGTATTCAGTTTACAAATAAATGATTTTATTTATTGGATATTTAGTGTAAAAGTATTTAGTGTGCCATGCTGTATTGAAGATCTGTGTACACATAATTCAGATAATTTTTTTGTTATGCAAGAAAGGACTAATTCTTGACTTTTATCTTTTTTCTATAATTTAATTCAATGTGAAATGTTGAATGTAGGCTCATAATTTGTTTTAATGCATTTGAAATAAGATATTTCAGAATTACCTAAAGTGTGTAACTTAAGAAATTAGTGTTAAGTTTTTATAACAAATAGCTTTATTTGTTTAAATGCAATTTAGGACAAATTCTTGTAAAATTATGAATCTTCAAATAGGAAAAATTACAGAAGTTTATTATTTTTAAAGCAATGTAGTTGTATTTTTGAAAATGTAAAGAATGAAAAAAGTGTAGTCTGGAAATACCTGTTTATAAATTGTAAATTATTTAATAAATTGGGAGCAAATCTGTTCTTGTACGTTAAATGTTTTTTCCCGTTATAATCAATTTTGATGAATGTGCAAGTTTGTTGGGTTTTTCAATGAAGAGTGTATATTTTGTTAGTTTCCCTAGAAAAAAAAGTCCTTTAAAAAGTAAAGGCATTTATATTTAGGAAAATAATAAACTTATTGATGTGAGATATTTTGTAATCAGTGGTTTCCCAGTTTCTTCAGAACTAATAAATGGATTTTTAAGTTTCAGTGCTATTAATCTTTCTTTCAACTTCTAAATTAATTATCACAAAAGTATCATAATGTGATAATTTTTAAAATACAATTTAACTTTCTGATTGTAAGTGATGTAATATTTTAATACTCTCAACTTTAAATTCTTGATATAGGAAATATATTTTTATTTATGAACAAGTAGTTAAAGAGCCAAACTACAAATGTTTGTATATACATATAATGGTCTGTTATTGTGCCTTCTATTTATACGTAACAATTCACCTTAGACATGGGAGTTATTTTAAATACAATTCTGTGAATAAAGTTATTAAACGTTTTGTCATCTGTAATAAGTTAAATATTAAAATGTAATTTCCCTGTAATTTATTCTTACATATTCTGTTATGTTCAATGAACAATTAATAATAAAGTAAAAGCTCGACTATCCAGAAAACTCTGAAATCGAATAAATTCCGGATACGTAAAAATTGTAGATAGTTGAGCATAGAAAAAATGAAATATGTTATGAAAGCCAAACCATGGGAAATTTTATGCTCTAAAATTATAAAAAAAATCATCTTATTTGTTACCAACTTGAGTATCAAAATCTTGCATTTAAATTGTATGATTTCAAAAAAAGGCTCATTTCAGTCATCAAAGCCATTGTATTTTATAGTCCTTAAATGTAAAATATTTGATCTGATTATAAAGTCTAATCAAACATGAAAGTTGGTGGAGATATTGCCAGTCGTTCTGGCAGAAGTTTAAATGAACAGATAGCTCTTTATTTAGTTGGAGACACTTGACATATAAAAAAACTTAAATTGCTCATGCTGATTTTTCATATTACATCGTCATTGTTGATCCGTTTAGTTGTGCATCAAGTCTTTTATGCTGCCCCAAATCTGTATAGTTTTTTTTCAAATGTAAATGAAAAAAAGAACGTGTATTCTTTTTCGAAAATAATTAACTCGAATGTAAATTAAACCCAAACTAACTTTATATGATTGTGTTATGACATGATTATCCATTACTGGTGCTAAATCATACTGTTTGGTGACAATGTATGCATGTTAATAGTATTGCAGGCATATTCTATAATGGCATTACAAATCTCTTATATAAATTTTTTTGGGGAAAACGTTTCCTAAAATTACAAATATTCCATTTGCATGAGCTTTATGATTAGTTGAATGCTGGATAGTCGAGCTTTTACTACATATTAGAAAAAGGTATTAAGACTGTTATAAAATTTGTGATTATGAATTCTAAAATGTTTAAATTTTTGTGTAGCCTTCCTTTATATAAATTTATAGTTAAATAATTTCAGTATGCTATTGCTTTTATGTAGATGGACTTCTGTGTTGATGCATTGGTTTTTTTCAACTTTTTATTAACTTTGTCAGATTTTATATTCTGCAGTTAATAAAATGAATTTTGCAGTTTTGTTATATAATTTGATATGGAATTATAAACCATATCATTTCACCTTTGAACAAATATATGCAAATGTAATATTTTTAAAGTAATAATTCAAATATTAGGTCAGCAGAGAAGTTGAACATCTTAAATTTTTTGGCATTATTATATTTTGAAATATTAAATCTTACATTGTTTGGAATTGATGCTTTATCACCATAAGAGTGTATTTTAATGTATTGTGCTTGGAATTTGAAGGAAGTTTTAATTTATGTAAATTTCTTATCCAGGAATGGAAAAAAATTCACTTTGATTTCCTTTTTCTCAAGTATTTTCTTATTTAATTGGGATGATCAATAAAAATATGTTAGTTATTATAGTGTTTTGATCGTTGCAGGGTTTACCACTTGTTGCACAGAAACACATGTGCTATATGCTAGTATGTTATTAAAAGCTTAAATATTGCTGCTCCTTTCCTATTGTCGAACAAAAGGATTTTATAGTAATTTTTTTAAAAAATACAGATGTAAAAGTTTTGTACATATTCTTAATCAAATTAGAAAAAGCATTCATTTAAGTTTTATACTAAAAGGAAAACTATTATTTTAAAATGCATATAATATTATGAACAGAAACAACCACTATGTAATGCATGATTAAATTCAAGTGCTTGTATAATAAAGGGAAAACTTTAGCTAAAATGAAAAAAATCTGATTTTTATTCGGATATTAAATGTGGATTTTGTTTTGCATTGCATTTATTGATTTTAATTTAAAAAAGTTTCTTAAATACATTTCTGTTTCCTCAAGAAATTTCACTCTGAAGCAATGCTTACTTCTTCAGAACTGGTCAGCTGTATGTATAAAATCTACCAACAAGAGTTATTTTGTTGCTGAAATTCACATCTAGGCTCACCTCTTTCTCAAGTGTGTGATGCCAATTTCAAACGAGATGAGATGGCAATCACTTTTCTTGAAATAAAATCTAAATTTGACTTATAGTTTTTAATTTTTGTAGAATTTAATAAAATTTTGCTTTAAATAAATCTCAAAAGAGCCATGTAAAAATCATAATTATAAAAAGACTGAAATTTTATCTGTATAATTAAAATATGAATATTGATGTGTATAACAAACACATTTGGCTGTGTAATGATACAGTGGCATAGACAGAATTTTGGGTTGTCGCAACCATAATAACTGCACACTACCACTGTGTAATTTTTCTTATTTGGAATTTTGTTGTTTAAAAAATTAATCTAAAAAATCGTGCATCTGCGTTTACATCAGGTTAAGCATAATTAATGACATTTATTAAATTGCATTTGTACTATATGTTAAGAATGAAAGTTTAATAAAATACCAAATAGCAATACACAATTACCTGTATTATGTTATCAGGTAGAAGATATTCCTAAAAGCAATTCTTTTAATTGGTTTTTTAATTTCAGCTAAAACTTTCACAGAAGAGTCTGAATTCAAATTAAAAGTAATTTTAGAAAATGTAACTTTGTCGACGAGTTTTTCTTTCAGCTCGCTATTAGCTTTCTAGATGTATTGCTCATCATAGCTTTGTATGCAATACTTTGCTTGCATTGTATTTTTCAAGTTGGCTTCATAATAATTAAAAAAATAACTTGATATGCATATAAGCGATTCCATTCATGAAATAAAAAGTACTTTATTTTTTGAATCTAACTATCTCTGATTTCTTAATAAGCTGAGCGATTTAAAAGATCCTCTATCCCATGTAACTTTGCATCACTTTTCGAACAGTGCCGTGCATTACAAACCCAACTACAGAATATTTTCTTTATTACAGCTTTTATTTTATATTTTCACTCTTGAAGTTACTAAAAAATCCAAAGCTCTCTGGTTTTCAAAGAATTTAAGAACGGAAATAATCAGCGGGGGAGAAAAAAAAAAAAAAAAAAATATGCAGTGCAAAATGTTAATATAAATTTTATTTTTCATGACTTTTACAGCTAAAATAGAACGAATGTATCTATGATCCTTTAGAAAATCTAATACATACATTTCAAATGAACATTAATCAAGATTTATTTATAATTTGAAAATTTTGAAGCATGTAATGATCTGAAGAAAAGAGTTTGAGGTTTAATCCTAGTACATTGTGCGCCCACCAGCGGCCGAGCGGTAAAGTCGCTGAACACTGGTAGTTCGGTCCGAGGTTCGAATCCCGCGAACGGGCTGGCTGCATGGTGGTTTTCCCCATGTGTAACGTGTATACGAGCCAGTTACCCTTAGAAAGTCCTTCACGAAGGCATCCCTCCCCGTTAGGCAAATAGCCCTAGTGTGCTTTGTCATAATTAAATACACGAACACCAACCTGGTACATAGTACACACGGTATTTGGCGACATATATGATGAGCAGCAAACGTCTAATTTTGGTGTTGGCGACAATTTTCAAAATCGCACCCGTACCGTCAAGGATTTCAACGCGTCTGATGTTATTTTATTCCGAAATTCTCCCAAAATTATTCAGCATATTAAATATCGTGATATACAATTTCATTTTCAAATCATTCAGCATTCTTCTCATTTTTAAGGAATATAATAGTTAAGTAAAAAATAAATAATTTATATATATATATAAAAGATTATATCTTTGGTACAAGGGATTAAACATGTGCAGCGAATACCTGACAACTAAAAATTTAAGAGCAATGTTTAAAGAAGAAATTTCTTTTTATAAAACCAAAAGATTGAAAATACATTCTCTAAAACTAATACTTAAAGAATTTTGTTATTGTGATGCGAAATGATTTAAAGTAAATGTCTAAGGCCCATATCACACGGCGTTTGTTTCACACGAACAACTGTTTCGAACAATTTTTCTGCGTGGTTTACCATAGAAAGATAGACGTGCGATTTTTTCCTTCCTTTCCAAAAAAATTGCAAGTTGTTCGTTTTCAACCAATCAGCTTTCGGCTTCGAATGCTATCAGCTTGTTTGTAATGGGGAACCAGTTTTCCCTGTGTTAACCCCAAAGCGATCATTGGTGATTGGCTGCTGTGACAAAGCAGAAAAATTGTTCCAAACAGTTGTTCTTCCGAAACAAACTGACGTGTGATAGCAGCATACAAGGTTGATGCAAATGTTTATAGTAATTATCATTAAAATGTAATATGAATTAAATATGTTTTAATTTAAAACATATACTGTAAGATATGATTCCGGAATACATGCTTATGTAATCTAAAAGTTGGCGGATATTTCCGATTGGGCATTTTTTGCAGAAGCGGTCTTCAATGCTTTTCATTCTTTTAATTTTACGCTAAGATGTGATTTTTAATCCTGCCGGCCAAAAGACTCAGCAAGAGCAAAACAAAATATCTTGCGGAGAATATGGTTCGTTGTCGTGTGTAGTGTGTAGAATGTGAATTTGGAATACGAAATAAGAAGTAACTGTATGCTTTTAACTTGTTACTTTTAAGATGATGAGCAAAATGAAATCTCTTAGTGGTAATATATATTTGTTTTGTGAAATGTGAATTTTATCTGTACTTTAGCTCATTTATCTGAAGAATAACCAAGTTTTTAACCTAGATTACTAGATTTAATATTTAAATTTATTGTCTACATATATTTTATTTTGCCTATTTAAGTTTCGTATCCACATTACTCTACACATTTTGGGTTTAATTCCTGAGATGTGCTTTTGCATGAAAATATTAACTCGAAATTCTCAAATATGAGTGTAGCGGTTGTTAAATTTACATATAAAATGAAAGTCTTTTTGATGAAAATGTAGCTCAACCAAATGTCAACTAAAATTCACCTTCACAAGGAAGTTCTGCCGTAAAAATACCTGAATTTTGTGTCCTTTATTAACCAGAATAACAAACTAAAATACAATTTGTGTAATAATACTCTGATTAATCTGTCGATAACTTTATGAAAGTAACTCTGAAGGAGGGATTTCTAACGCTTTTGTTGCATCAAGCCCTTTTATAATAATGATTTTCTTCATGGACCCTCCTTAATATTTTCCCCAGTAATGTAGAGCATACAACAAAATCATAATACAAATAATTGTGTATAAATCTAATGATAACAATTAAACTAAGAATATAAACAAAATTTTTTACAAAATAGTGTATTAGATTTATATTTTATTATTATTATTAATTTTACAAATATAAACAACATTTCAGAAACAAAACCATTGATTCAAATTGCACAGAAATTCTGTTTTAATTAATGTGATGATTGTGCATTGATGCAATTTTGGAATAAATTTAATTCTTAGATCACTTTGTTCAAAAATATTCATCCTGTTGCTTGTTTCGCTTTGCAAATTATTGATTCGACTACAGCCTGGTTCTAAATTTATTCACTTAGACAAATTTTGAAAAAACTATTGAACTTAATATTGATACCTTTTATCTTTTATAAATCTTGAAGCTGCTTATGATAGCATATACTGTGGAAAGCTGTTTGAAGCTAGGCTGAAATTTGAATTTGCTAGAAAATTGATTCATCTATCTAGAATGACTTTAAAGAGAGTAAATTGCAGAGTTAAAAAATCATGTCTGATCTATCGGAGGCATTTTACATTATCAGAGGCATTACACAGGGTTGATGCCCTTGCATGTACAAGGTTGTTCAGTAAGTTCGTGGAGCGCCATCTATTCGTCGATATTAGACCTAAAACTTCGACGCCATTTTCATAGTTCTTTCTTAGGAACAGGTCAAAAGTTTCATTTCGATCTGTTAATTTATTCATTATTTAACCGCCCTTTATATCTAACGTGTTGTGGCTTTTTTCAAGTATGGATAAAATTGAGCAACGTGCAGTTATCAAATTCTTTGTAAAGAAAGGTTTAAAGACAATGGAAATTCATACCAAAATGGTGAATGTGTTGGGTGAATCCGCTCCTTCAAAAACAATGGTTTGCAAGTGGGCTAGGTTATTCAAAAGTGGTCGTACCAGCCTTGAAGACGATCCGCGAGAGGGACGTCCAAAAACTGCATCAACACCGGAAATCATCGGAAAAATACAAGATATGGTATTGGAAGACCGTCGATTGACTGAAAGAGATTTAACAGAGGCTTTAGGCATTTCATTGGGCACAGTGAGCAATATTTTGAGTGTTAATTTGGGTTTCAAAAAACACTGTGCAAAATGGGTGCCGCATTCTCTAACGATGGAGCAAAAACACATTCGGATGAGACTTTGCCAGCAACATTTGAAGCGTTTTAAGAAAAATAAAAGCCACTTTATCCATCGATTTATCACAATGGATGAGACTTGGGTCTACCATCATGATCCTGAATCAAAACAGGAGGCTAAGGAGTGGTGTGAACCCGGCTCTTTCGGCGCCGAAGCGAGTTCGTGTGCAAAAATCAGCCAAGAAGGTGTTAGCATCAGTTTTTTTGGGATGCGAAAGGAATTTTGTTTATAGATTACCTTCAAACTGGCAAAACAATTAATTCGGATTATTATTGTAACCTTTTGAATCAATTAGACGAAAAAATTCGTGAAAGAAGACCCGGATTACAGAAGAAGAAAATCATTTTCCACCAAGATAACGCACCTGCGCACACAGCTCAAAAAACCATTGCTAAAATAACTGAATTGAAGTACGAATTGTTGCAACATCCAGCCTATTCGCCAGATTTAGCTCCCTCCGACTTCTGGCTCTTTCCCACACCTCAAACAATATCTCCGTAGAAAACGATTTTCTTCAAACGAAGAGGTAATAGCTGCCGTGGAGGGATATTTTGCAGAGCTGCCGAAAAACCACTACAGTCAAGGGATCCATAAATTAGAAGACCGTTGGAATAAGTGTATTGAAGTTGAAAAATAAAGTCATTTTTACAAATAAAAATTGGTTTCTTCATTTTCGTTCCGCAAACTTATTGAACAACCTGGTATGTTTTTCAGTATAGCCATCGAAAAGGCTATTAGAGATGCCGGAATTATAACCAGAGGCACGATATTTCAGAGATCTGTACAGTTACTAGTAGAAGTAGTATTGGTAGAAGTAAACAGGCAGTTGCGGAAACCTATTTTCCTAGAGTCTGCAGCGAGAGACATAGGACTTACCATTAAACAAAATTTATGGCAGTAATTAATAGAGTACATAATCCCCTCCCCCACTGCATAAAAGTCTCATATTTTTTTGGGCGTTTCTCAGTTTAAGTATCTTGGTATTATCATCTTTAGTGATAATAATATTAAACTTGAAATTTACAATAGATTATTTAGAGCTAAATGAATTTATCATGGTTTAAAGAATTTTTTAGTATCTAAATTATTAAATTTCAAGACAAAAATAAATCTTTATAAAACTCTTATTAGACTTGCCATATTGTATGGTAGTGGATGTCCACCATTAATAAAAACAGACGAAGAAAGATTTCTAATTTTTGAAAGAAAAATACTGCGAAAAATATAGGGCCCAATTAGAGAAAATGGTGAATCTTCGGATTATGGTAACTTGGCGATTTTTTGGCGACCAACCCTGCTACAGCAACTTACAAGTTTTTTTTTTTTTGGACACCATTTTGTTTTCACAAAGTAAAGGCATGTTTTTTTTTTTTTTTTTTTTTTTTAACTCAACATTTTTTTCCAACAATCTGCTAGCCGAATTAAGCTTATACTAGACTTTTATGGAACAAAAATGCTTAATCATGATGAAGATTAGGTGCGAAATTGGGAGAAAGTGCAGAATCGCCCACTGCTTGCCGCGTTTTTAAGAATTGCACATACACGATATCCATGTACACGTCGACCTAGTTTCACTTAAAAAAAATATCCCCGAATTGCACAAAAATGGCATTGCGCACATTCTCCTTGACTTTATCCATGTACACTGCTAAAGTCCTAGCTAGTAACCTTTATTGCCTTACCAAAATCTCGCCAAACTACCTGTTACCATATTCCAAAGATTAGCCGAGAAAATAATAGATGGAGAATTTTGTTTAACCATAACATATATAGAAAATACAAACAATGTAATATTGTCTGATTCATCAAATCTTATTGTAATTTTCATATTTCATCTGAGTGATATTGCATTGGGATATTCTTTGATTACATTGCCATTCTTCATATATTAGTTTGGTGATTTTTAATTTTTTTATTAATCAGAGTAGCAAAGGGAAACTTTATTAGTGAAAGTTTCTAATGAAGGGAGAGTTGGCAGCATTTTTCAAAAAGGTAACCAAACTGCCAATATTTATTGAAACTCAGCAAAACTACTTAAAGAAAATAATTAAAAATATAATATTTGACAATTCAAATTTGCATTTATAAGTATTCTGGGATACATTAAACATTATACAAGACATTTAGCATTGTGTACAGCCCATACATTGCACATATGTAACATTATATATGTTTCCAACAAAGTATGAAATGCCGGACTAATGTAGGCAGAGTACTTTACCTAGGAATTCTATATAGTACTTAGGCATTCTACAGAATGACAAATGCTTTTAGGCAAAGTATGAAAAAAAAGGTTATGATAAGGCTATTTGTTAAAAGACGTTCATTCCTATAAAATGCAAATGCTATTTTGAAAAATTAATGAAAGAGTGCCATTAAAAAACTGTTCTTCAAAATATGTAAAAAAAAAAAAAAAGATAGTGAGGTGATCTTGATACAGCATAATAAATTTGTATTTTCTATCTGGCTGAGACTGGGAATCAGTAAGATCTACCTGACAATGGGAAGTTAAATTCAAAAACAATCATAAGATTCACATCAGTGCCCTTTTTAATACCTTTCTGTTTTATCTAGTAGGGCTCAGAAAGGTGGTTGTTACAGTTCAATATCATTATGTGTAACGTTTTTGTAATTGGTTGAAAGTTCTTTCGACATTCTGTCACATTGTTCCTGTACAGTACTCTTATAAGTTTTCATGAAATACGGAAAATAACTCAGCGTCCATGACGTAATACTGTATACAGTACAAAGTCCGAAATCCGGACTCGTCGGGACTTCGGCAATTCCGGATTTGGGATTTTTCCGGATAATAGATCATCAATTTAAATCTGCTAAAAAGGCATGCAGAAATTATACAATTAAAAACATGAAATTGTAATTTATGAAATAAAGAACAATTATGTTCTAAAGCAGTGGTTCTTAACCGGGGGATGTATTTTTGGGGGTGCGGGAGAAGCCCCTACCTAACCATAAAAATTATTAAATATCATTTATTAAATTTCTTATAATAAAATATTTGAAATCTGCAATAGTGTCCCCAATATTGAAGCTCATAAAAATTGGTAGCAGCTAGCTCACTTATCGGCAAAAGACGCAGGAAAGAGCCGGTGTCGATGGGCGTATTACGCTACGAAAAGGCATGAAACGCTACAAACGAACGCGAACAGGCAGCTAGGTGACGGAAGAAAAGAAAAAACTTTGTGGGAATACAAAGCGGAGAATGTTATCCCAGCTTGCGCATGTGCTGAGTTCAATATGTGCTACTCCAATGGAATCTATAGGATTCACA